CTGTCAATAGCCGTGACAATACTGAAGAAATCTTCTATCTTTCATTGCACCGCATTGTTTACCTGGGGATAGATTGGCACAAATCTAGGCTGTCCAAAGTCCAAGATTTGCTTTCTGAAGATCCTGTCAAACTCGTATATAATGAACTGTATACCATCAGCACATGGAGCTGGAAAAAACAAACTAGTAATGTCCTCCAACTACTTTACCTCTGTCACAGAGGCTTCCTAGAAGCATATAGAATGTTCTATCTAGCTCACCAATTTGTTGGTAACATCTGAGAAACACTTTCTTAATCTTACTTGAAAACTCTAAAGCTTCAGAGAAACCTTAACGCTCACCTAAAATGTCAGAAAGTGAAATCTCCAACACTTCTAACAATTGAAAACCTATATCATTTAGAATTTGTCATAGATCTCTTTGCCCCTTAAGATGATAATCCCTTTTCTAAGAAATCTCTTGTGTGAGTCATCCAAAACATGCCTCAACAAACCAGCTTTCTCAGATTGAACCTTCAGCCAGTCACTATTGGGATATTGAAGCTTAAAGTTGATGATATTGTGTGCTTGTTTGTGTGGCAAAAATTGATCTGCATCCATGATTTTTTGTAACATAATCATTGCTGCTAACTTCTTTAAGTAGTAATAGCTGAATGTCACCTCGTTGTGCTGGTTGTTAGAGAAAACTTTCTTATACCACTTGCTCTTTGTGAGAGTTGGTGATCGTGCTATGAACACAAATCTAGTAGAGTGTGGATGCTCCAAGTGGTGCAGATGTGCAAGATGCCAATGCTTTAACTCCTGAGGCACCACAGCCTGATAACCTTGATGCACCATAGCCGTAACATGCTTCATTTGACCTTTGGTTAACACCCTTATTTCAAATAGAGTGAGGGGATGGCAAAGTGTAGAGTGAGGTGATTGTGAGGCAATTGTGAGGCAAGTGATCGTAAGAACTAGTTCCTTGAGACAGATTGCCATCATCAAGGCTATTGGACTTCTGCAGCCTATATAGGGCTGAAGAAAAGTTCCTGGTTGTGGAGCTCTTTAAGTAGACTCTTGTGGTCACCATCACCATTGCCAACTATGAGCTCCTCTTGAACTAGAGCTCCTAGGAAGTCTGGAGTACCCAACAGAGTGGAAAAAAAGAGGAGAGGTTCGAGGCCAAGAGGCTTATGCTGTCAGTATTGGAGTGAGTGAAGCTAAGATACTTGTCACACTATGGGACAGAGTTTTATTGCATGCTTAGCACCTTTCAGGTGTTTGGAGATAGTTTTGATTTCATTATCTAGGCTTTGTTCACTTTCTAGATGTGTTGTTAGTAGTCACTTGAGTTTCAAAAAGAAGAAAACAATATTTTTTTTTTACTTTCTCGATTGTTTCTTTACATTGTTGGCATCTACAACTTGTGAGAGGAGTGCAACAAGGACCTTGAGAACATTAACATTTGCAGCTCTTTTGGCAGTGCAAACATGAGGTCATTACACAACACTACAATCAATAGCCATATGAGCTGCTTTGGGCTACTAAAAAAAGGGATAAAATTGAACTTTTGAGCATATAAGCAAGAAGTGAAAGAACATAAGTATGGAGTAACATTATAATAGTCTTAGGGCTTTTCACATTCTAATGTAAAGAGCAACATGCAAAATAGAGCCAAATAATGTCTAATGTTATTTTAATATATTAGTAGCATAACACAAGGATATGAGAATTCTATCATTCAACATGGTATGGAACTTGGGCTTAAACCTAAACCAGATGTAGAACAAAGATAGATATGCCCAATAATAACTTATACAGAATTATTTATCAATATTACTTTTAAATTTTAGTATTAAATATTATATTGAATATAAATATGCTTGATTTTTATTCTATTTAGTATATGGCTTCCTAAATTGTGATTTGTAGCGCTCATTAGGTATAATTTAGTGCACTGATATGAGGAGTCTTTAGCAATGTTGCCCATAGATGTATATACGGAGATTGGGTTCGAGTCTTAACTCTTTAATGCTTGGGTTTGAATCCCAACTCACTAGAGCATAGTGATGGTTTAGAATATGAGGACACTCATTTTTTAGTGGTCATGGACTTTCAGTAAAGACGTTAACTTAGGTACACTGCAAAGTAGGGGATGCCTTGGAGTAGATTACTTAGTATGAAAGGTTGGCATATTTAACTTGAACACTCTAGTGAAAGTGGCATTGATGACATGGTGAAGAAAATGAGGACACCCAATCTCGGTTGCTATAGACTCTTGCCTGGAAAGGCTAACTTAGGCACACTGCCAAGTATGGGAGATGCACCCAGGTCATAGTTAACAATTTAAAGATTTGGAAGATTTAGTATCTATTGACAAACCTATTAATGTGTCAAGGTGAGATCACTAGGTGATTTTATAGTTAAACAAAGAAAAAGTCTTTGCTAGATTAAGGAATAAGGTTTTTAATTCAAAATGTTGATTTAAACTATTAGTAATGGTGTGACTTGGTTGAAGTGACCAAGTGTTATTACTAGTGTGTTTGCAACTAATATTGGATACTTTTTCCTCAATTGGATGGTATTCCAACATTCTTGTCAGAAGTGGATTCTCTCAAATAATGGTCATGCATTTATGGTTGAAGTGTTTCACATTTTAACATCTTGATTGAGGATTTGCCACACTTTTATGAGTGTTTATCATCCACAAATAAATAGTTTGGTGGAATAATTCATTTAAACCTTCAAAGGGATGATCATGAAGTACATGGACTTTCAATATTCAGACTATGATGGTTATTTATTATTTCTTTAGTATGCATATGTCGTGAGGCTATATTAGTGTTTCACCATATAAACTCTTATATAGTTATGATTTGATATTGCCAACAGACTTGAGTGTATCTTTGCAATTGCTACAAGTTATTGATGCTAAGTCATAACATTAGTATTTGACAAGTATTCTTCTAGTAATTCAAGCAAAGTCTATTGAATACTTAGGTAGTGTACAAGTGAACAGTGGTGCTACAATTCCCATAGTTATCCACATGTAGAATACAAAGTGGATTTATTTTCCAAATCTTATAATATATAATTTATTTAAGGGGTTTCTTGCTCAGTGAAAAGGATTGTATTGAGTGTTACAGCAACTTGGACCACAAATTAATGAGGTTCAACATAACATACAACATGTTAATCCTCTTCCATCCTTCTGAAAGGAGGGGATGATATGAGGTTTAAGTGTATAATTATGATATGCTATACTAATATTAATATAGTGGAATTTTGATAGCCATTAAATTGGTTTTAATTTGGATCAGTCACTTCTATATATAAGCTATGTTTTAGGGTTAATCAAATATGCATATTTCTGTATTCCATTTCAATATTCCATACACTCACAAAGTTATACATTATATTTAGCACAAGAAGCCTCATAGATAGTAACTTAAGAACTAATAAAAAATAACAATAATATATGTATGTATATGATATTGAAATGGAATACAGGAATATGCATATTCAATTAGCCTTAAAACCTAGTTTATATACAAAATAAGTGGTCCAGATTTAAACCAATTTAATGGCTATTAAAATTCCACTATGTTATAACATATTATAATTATACACTTAAACCTCAGATCATCCCAAAGGATGGAAAGAAACTAAAGTTCTTTGGTTAATGGTTTGGGATCTGAAGGAATATAGAGGCATTAGTGTATTTGTAGGTGGTGTCAATTATTGTTAATCCTATTATATGAAGCACTTTAATCATTATATATGCACAATTGTTGAAGGATCAACATGTCATATGTTATGTCAAACCTTATCAATTTGTGATATAAATTGCTGCAACCCTTGATACAATCCCTTTCACTTAGCAAAAAGCCCCTTAAATAAACCACATGCTATAAGATTTTGAAAATGGAAATTTCAATTGTATTTATTACAAAAGAATATTTTTAACATATTCTATAAAATGCAATAAAAATTCAAAATATTCTTTAAACAATAATAAATATTCCAACAAATATTCTTTAGTCAACATGCTCCTGCCCCAGAGCATGAAAATTTTGGGTGGCAGCACTACAAAGAGCTGGAAGTGTATCTTTGGAGCTTTGACCTTGCAAAAGCTTTTGGTTAATCTAAGCAAATAAGAGAAATGCAATTTCAAGCTCATGCTAGTGTCTCACTTTTGTGACGTTTTCTTTGCCATATAATGACTACGAGAAGACCTGTAAATCAGAATGCCAAGGCAGCCATAACATCAATTGACAAAACCTTGAGTTTGTTTGTGGGTGGAGCAGAAAAAGAGTGCTCTAGCTGCAATATTTTAATTTCATAGCATATGCAGTTCAGCATCTAGTTGGCGTTAAGCTTGACCAGACCATGTCCCATGAGTGGACACCATTTACCCACATGAGGCATCTTTTGTACAGGAAATTCTTGTTTTGGTTCACATTGCTGTGCGAATTGCGTTTCCTCTACACCACCCAAACTTTATCTAGGACGCAAAATGACAAGGCAAAAGCAAACTTTGATGTGTGATGGCGTGATTGAAACTCTATGTCAGTTGCCGACGGGATATTTCGATACATGGTCCCTGATCCTGTTGCAGTCCATTTGTTCACGAGCTTCCTTGTGACTAGGAATTGGTTCAAGAACATCCCCGAGTTGTAGGCCGTGGACGAGCACTTCAAGAGAAGCAGCTAAGAATACACAGTACTTTTCGCCTTATGATTTGATTGGGGATTACATCAATTATCTCTGAATTATCTCGCTTTGTTCTCCTTCAGTGAACCTAGGCCTTCTAAAAGGAGGTATTTTCCTTGCTTCCGTGACCATGGCCATCCATGTTCCAGTTGTGCGTGGCATGGCAAATCGAGAAGCCTTGCTAGTAAGAACCCTGCTCTGAGGAATTCTGAACATTTGCTCAAATGAAGCACAATGTAGGGACAATTTGGATTTTGTTGCTCGGTATCTGATTGACGACGTGCGTACAAAGCTACAAAGTCATGCTACTCAAAGATTCTATATCCTTTACAAATGTACAGCATTTGCCTCAAGGGGCATTTTCAAGGTACGCAACTACTGCTTGTCCTGGTTCACTTGGCCTTGTAATCTTTCATTCTACCTAGTCTACACCACCACAACCTTCTCTTGTTTTGGTGTTTTGGTTCTGTAAGGATCAAAGCAGACGGTCCTCTGTGGTGATAAAAAAACTCCATTTGTGTTGCATATACCCAAGGGTGGGATATTGGATACATTATGTTTCACTGTTCAGCGGCCTGATTCGCTTGGATACATCACACTTAACTCTCGACTCACGCCTCCGGAACCACCATCCTCGAAAATTCTTGGGAGAGGTGGTGCTGGAACTGGAGCATTCTCCTCGAGCATCTGGACGACTTTGCTCATGCTGGGCCTGGACTCCGGTTCCGGCTGGATGCACCAGAATGCAACCCGAAGAGCCATTTCGAACTGCTCCCAGTCGATGGTCTCGGCCATCCTCGGATCTGCTGTCGATTTCATGTTTCCCGTTGCGCACTGCTCAAATGCCCAGACTGGGAAGTACCAGCGCCCGCTATTCATGGCTGAGGGAGTGAACATAAACTTGTCCCGGCCGCTCATCAGCTCGAGCAGAACCATTCCAAAGCTGTACACGTCCACCTTTGGAGTGATTGCAACGTTGCTGATCCACTCCGGCGCCATGTATCCTCGAGTGCCTCTCGCCGTGGTAACGTTTGCACTACTCTCTCGCTTCATCAGCTTCGCGAGCCCAAAGTCAGAGACTTTTGGACGGAAGTTGTCGTCCAAGAGGATGTTTTGAGGTTTGATGTCGCAGTGGATGATGCATTCCTGGCACTGCTCGTGGAGATAAGTGATTCCTCTTGAGATGCCCAAGGCAATTGCCAACCTTGTTTTCCATTCACACAAAGTTTTAGGTACCTGGGAGCTCGCTTCATCCGCTTGTAGGCCTGGAGTTTCATTATTCTTCCCATCCTGGTCCGCTTGCGCTGCAAACAGGACTTTTTCCAGGGAACTATTTTCCATGTACTCGTAGACAAGTAGCCTGTGGCTTCCTTCGGCACAGTATCCGAGCATTCGAACCAGATTGATGTGGTGGATTTTTCCCAATGTTGCAACCTCGGCCTTGAATTGTTTCTCTGCATGAGTAGCCATCATCAAGCTCTTCACGGCCACCAGAGATGTACCGTCTGCGAGGACTCCTTTGTAAACCGTGCCAAATGCTCCAGCTCCAAGCTTATCTTTGAAATTGCCAGTCGCTACTTCAAGCTGGTGATACGTGAACTTGGTGACTACTCCATCAACTTGGTCCAGAGCTTGTGACAAGCGCTTAATCCTTTTCTCGGTGTAGAGCCACCAGATCACTCCCGCTGCTAGAAACAACAAGAGCTCGGCAGCAGCAATGGCCGCAGGAATGACAAGTTTGAAAGCTTCTCGGACTTGTTTCAGCTCGGCATAGCTCTTGACATTGGTTGCATTTACGATAGTCGAGAAGAGCTCATTAAGAGGAGCCTCGGGTTGAACCCTTGAAGCTGTCGAGACCTTGAGGAACACCAGAGACGGAGCCATTTCGTCGGAGGGAATCTGGAAACCATTATAGATCACACCTGGAGCTGGACCTTTAGTATAACAGGTGCCGTGACGATCAACTCTGTATACAAAGCCGAGGCATCCACAGTCTCTGTCACAGCGGCGTCTGCATCCCTCCAGAGAAGTGGGAGACAGGTCTTTCACGTAATCGTTGCCATTGTAGCTGGCTCTGTCCACGCGCACCCAGTCGTGGTGATTACTAGAGCCATTGCAGCTAAGTTGCAAGGGGACGTCGTAAGTGCAACCTTGGTGATGGTCTTGTGGATCGATGAAGTGAAAACCAGGAGGGCACACGCACGTGGACCTAGGAGCATATGTGCACAAACCAAAAGGTCCACACACTCCATGGATTTGGCACTCGAGAAGCATTGCCTGCCATACGATGTTCCACGAGGAGTTGTCTGTTGAAAGGCCGTAGATCCGGAGGTTTCCACTGGGTTCCAGCTTGAGCATTCTCATCACTCTTGTATTGGCGAAGGTGAAGTCAAGTGAATATTGGTAGTTTGAGACGTTGCTTGCATCAGTGAAGGTGACTATGCCACTCGAGTTCATTACCAACCTGGAACTTTGGCTAGTTGAGTTGTTTGAGCCAGTTGATGATGAAGGCAGATTCTGTGGGATCGTCCAGTAGCTTGTTAAATTCTTCAACTCGGGAGCAGCCAAGAATATAAGCTGTGCCGAAACATCAGTCATTTGCAAACTGTATCTCCCAGATATCAAGGCTTGCCTGCCTTTGAAAACCTGATCTTGGAGCAACGTATCAGTCGGGAGGTTGAAACTTTGCCACAAAACTGAATTATTGCTGTGTTTGAGCACAAGATTTCCATCATCTTGCATGTCCAGTCTCACACCAGAGCAATTGCTGCTCTTGCAACTCACGATGACTTGAGCCACCCCATTATCCAACACAAACAATCCTTGGGCTTCATTAAGCACAAGCTGGGCATTTGCAGTCACTCCTTTGAGAGCAGTGGCAGTCCAGATAATTGTCTCAACGGAGCGGACCCTGATTGCAACATTCAACTTACCAGGAGCTCCAGTGTCATTGACGAAACCAAACCCAAAGTTCTTCCCTGGTGAGATCAGGATTTCATCCGCCTTGAGAGACTCACCTGTTTGAATGCTGCTGCCCTTTTCAATTTCGCTCGCTAGAACTGCCACTGGCAGTATCAATATGAACAAGGCGACATTACAGAATGCCATTGCGATCTTGCGAATTTTACGATAGAAAATGTTTTGTAAAGGTCCTCTCCCCTCCGTGTCATGCACGGTCACGACTTGAAGCAGTCAAAAAGCAGACGTCTATATCTTGACTTGAGGTTCTTATATCACGACCGGTTTGGAGCCTATCCACATTAGATAACAATTCTAAACGAGACGAGTGGTTTGACTCGCTCCTGGAATAGCTAAGATTTCAGTTTTTATGGCCTGAAGGTTCCATGTCCTCACCCCTCATTCAATCATCCTTGGGAAAGGTGGCTCTGGCACTGGGACATTTTCCTCAAGCATCTCCACGACCTTGCTCATGTTGGGCCTGAGGCTTGCATCGGGCTGGACACACCAAAATGCAACCCGCAGGACCATGTTGAACTGGACCATATCGATCTTCTCCGCCATCTTTGTATCCGCGATGGAACTCACACTCCCAGCTACATAGTGCTGAAAAGCCCAGATTGGAAAATGCCCGCGTTCCGAGTTCGTGGCAGGAGCGCCATCGACTGGAATTATTTTTCCGCCACTCAGCAGCTCGAAGAGGACCATACCATAGCTGTACACGTCCACCTTTGGAGTAATGGTGACGTTGCGGACCCATTCCGGTGCCATGTATCCTCGAGTTCCTTGCACCGTGGTCACGTTTATGGTTCTTTCTCGACTGGCCAGCTTCGCCAGTCCAAAGTCAGAGACTTTTGGACAGAACTTCTCGTCGAGGAGGATGTTTTGAGGCTTGATGTCGCAGTGGACGATGCATTCCTGGCATTGTTCATGGAGGTAAGTGATTCCTCGGGCGATGCCCACAGCGATTGAGAACCTTGTCTTCCAGTCACAAAGACTCTCATCGATGTCTTCGTTTGAGATTATGGATTTCTCCAAGGAACCGTTTTGCATGTACTCGTACACGAGCAGCCTGTGGCTTCCTTCGGCACAGTATCCTAGCAGTCGAACCAAGTTGATGTGGTGGATTTTTCCAAGGGTTGTAACTTCGGCTTGGAACTGCTTCTCTGCTTGAATCTCCATCTCTATGTTTTTCACGGCCACGATAATACCATCTGGGAGCAATCCTTTGAAAACCGTGCCAAAGCCTCCAGTTCCAAGTTTGTCTTTGAAAAAGTTTGTAGCAATCTCAAGCTGGTGATACGTAAACCTTGTTGCGCCTCCCTCAACCTCCATTTGTTGTTTGATGTGCCTTACTTTTTCCTTGACGTGGTGCCCATAGACAGCTCCACAAATCAAGAACACTACAAGTTCAGCAATGGCAAGCGCCACGGCCAACTTATGCTTGATCGGTACCTCCACCTCCTTCACAAACAAGGTTTCCATATTGTTTGTTGCATCCATGTCTGTAACATATAAAAGTTGATTTAAACTGTGATCATCCTCGGCTGGCACGGAAGTATCTGATGCAGAGATTTTCAGAAAGAACAGATTCTGCCCAGATGCAATCTGGAAGCCATTATAAATCACTTGCTTTGGTCCCCTGGTTGAATCTGGACCTTTGAGAAAGCATTGACCTGAGCCGTCAGCTCTGTAGGCTATCCCAAGGCAGCCACAATTCTCTTTGCAGATGCTCTTGCAATCTTCAAGGGATATGACTGAGATGTACGTCTTGTCATTGTAAGTATAGTCAGTTCTTTCCAAACGCACCCATCTGTTATCGGATCCATTGCAGCTTTTCAAGGGGACATTATACTCACACCCTTTGGAATGGTCACCTGGATCCACAAAGTGAAACCCTGGAGGACAAGTGCAGACGAGACCAGGCCTGTATGTGCAAATCCCGAAAGGTCCGCACATCCCAAAGACTTTGCAGTCAGCTGTCAATGCTTGCCAAACTATATTCCACGAGGAGTTATCCTGGGTAAGGCTGTAAACTCGTAGAGTTCCATTGCGTTCTAGAGTGAGTCTCCTCGCTACCTTTGGAGTTCCAAAATCCAGCACGTAAAAGTACGAGTTTTGTTCCCGGTTAATGTACCAGGGCCCTTGACCGTCGGTGAAAGTAAGAATGCCGGTCGAGTTCATCACCAACGTTGATGCGTTGTTGGAACTAGTCGGGGATCTCTGGACATCCCAATATGATTGAGAATTGGACTCCGGAACTGCATAGCTTTTTAACCCTATAGAGTTTTGGTTGAGGTACAAACTAAAGCTCCCCGAGCGAAGGATATCTTTGTTGCCTTGGATGAGTTGGCCTGTGAGCAAGGTATCGGTTGGGACATCGAAACTTTGCCAGCTGCCACTGCTTGATATGACCACAAAGTTACCATTGTCCTGTAACTCCGCACTTGCAACACTAGGAACATTTGCAATCGTTATTAGTTGGGCCCCGTCCGAGACAAATAGGCCCTGGGCAGTGAGTTGGAGGCGAGCATTAGCAGTAAAAGCAACGCTAGGTGCACCTGGTGCAGTCCAGACGATTGTCTTCAAGTTGATGTGGTGGAACCTGATCACTAAGGTGAACTTACCAGAGGCTTCATCATCGACAAATCCAAGCTCAAAAGTGTTGTCTGGCGAGACTAGGAATTGATTTACTGCGAGAACATCCCCGACTTGCAACGATGATTTGCCGTTGGCAAGCACTACAAGAGCAGAAGCCAAGAACAGCAACAGCAGCGGCATTTCTTATGTATTGCACGAAGTCACAGACTCACAGAACCATATATTGGGGGCTCCTCTAGAATATCTCAAATGTGTTGACTGACCGGACACATTTCTCGGCTTTTGACTTGACAAGCGCGTTATCTTAAGAAACTCATGCCCGTCAGATCGAACCAGATCTAACGGCCAAAAGCTTGCTCTAGCTGAAATGCCGGCATCTCGTACGTCAAAGGGTAGAGCACTTGTTCACGAACTGGATCATCTCTCCATACGAGTAATCCATTTCTCCCTCGACCTCTGGAAACAGCAAGAAATGGCCGCGATTTGGATACTCGACCAGCTTTGCATCCTTCCCAGCTTTCCGGAGCTCCTCGTAGTACTCCACCTGGCGGCTGTGGAGCACGTCTCGAGCTCCCACCACCACCAGCGATGGCGGCATTGGATCGATCTTGGCGATCTCCTCGGCACTTGGAACTCTACAGTACTCGTGGTCGCGGTTGGTACCCTCCGGGAGACAGAATCGCCAGAAAGTATCGCAGTCCGCGAGTGTGAGAACGTCGGGCTGGACGAGCGACTGGATCTCGGACTTGGATCTCTCCTCGGCCCCAAAGAATGGAACCACTGGGAAGAGTCCTTTGATCTCCAGCGGCGAGAGGTCGCTGTGGATCGATCGGGCGGCCATGTAGTGGACGATTGTCCCTCCGGCGCTGCCGCCCATGAGGAAGATCCGGGAGAAATCAGCGTTTTGGAGCCAGGGGTCGCGATCCATTGGCGATTTCTTGGCCTGGGACTGAAGCCACTGGAGAGACACGAAAGAATCATCGAATGCCACCGGGAGGCGGTGCTCCGGGGCGAGCCTGTAGGCGACGGAGACGACGATCATCCCCATTTTGTGGGAGATTCCACTGCAAAGGCCATGGAAAATGCTCGAAGCAGGGGAGAAGGCGACGAATCCACCGCCATGGAAGTAGACGAGAAGCGCGTGCTTGCCAGTGGAGCTAGCATCATGGACCACGGTAGCCGATTTGGGAGCGAAGATTCGAGCCCACATTCCCGTTCCCTCGTCCAGAATCACGTCCTTGCATCCAATTTCGCCCTTTTCGAAGCTGGGATCAGCAGCGCAATCGGGCCACTGGGGCTTGCTCGTCCGGACGACTCTGCCATCGCTATAGAGCTGGACGCCTCTCACATCGCCCAGCAGCTCGCAATTCACCATTGCCGCCCGCGCAGAACTCACAACAAGGACGAAGAATTTAAAACAGAGAGCCGGCGTTGGAGCCCTAATCCGTCCAAGAACCCTAAAGAACGATTTTCGGGCCGGAGCAAGAAGACGAGGCTATAGATTCCTTCATCCAAACGCACAACAGGAAACAAATTTTCTTCTACATCGCTCAAAAACTTTTTTCATATATAAATCACAACAGGAGCCCTAATCCGTCCAAGAACCTTCCAACTGGACAATGCAATGGATGTAAGATGATTATTGAAGAATGGATTATTCATATAAGACTACCAGGGGAGAAAGAAGTGAGTGAATGAGCAATTCAATGTGGAAGAGGCTAGATAGTCACTGGAGCACCAGTTATGCATGGGACTATACTCCTGAACTTCTATGAACAAAGATATATTTTTAGCCACCGCAACATTTAGGCCTCTCTGAATGTTGGATGATCAGGTCAATTAGTGTGTCCCTGCGTTCTTCCATCAAGGGAAGATGGGTGCAAGGAAGTACAATCAAAGGGGAAGATGTCAAGGTCTTGTGCTTGGAAGTTTAGTGCAGGGAAATACAAATGGAGTTGGAGATGTGTTCTGTACTAATAGATTCTTTCCACCTTGAATTGGCATATGGAGAACAAGCACATTTTTTGCTCATGTTTATCTACTGGCTGCCATGTGAAGAGGATGTATGCTAGGAGGATTTGGCATGTGCTGGGACTGCTTTTTAAAAGTTCATTTTGGGCTTTCACCCCACAAAAAATAGTAATTGGATTGCATAAATTTGCATTCTCATCACTCTTGTATTGGCGAAGGCGAAGTCAAGTGAATATTGGTAGTTTGAGACGTTGCTTGCATCAGTGAAGGTGACTATGCCACTCGAGTTCATTACCAACCTGGAACTTTGGCTAGTTGAGTTGTTTGAGCCAATTGTGGATTCTGTGGGATTGTCCAGTAGCTTGTTAAATTCTTCAACTCGGGAGCAGCCAAGAATATGAGCTGTGCCGAAACATCAGTCATTTGCAAACTGTATCTCCCAGATATCAAGGTTTTCCTGCCTTTGAAAACCTGATCTTGGAGCAATGTATCAGTCAGGAGGTTGAATATTTGCTATGTTTGAGCACAAGATTTCCATCATCTTGCATGTCCAGTCTCACTAGAGCAATTGCTGCTCTTGCAACTCACAATGACTTAAGCCACCCCATTATCCAACACAAACAATCCTTGGGCTTCATTAAACACAAGCTGGGCATTTGCAATCACTTCTTTGAGAGTAGTGGCAGTCTAGATAATTGTTTTAACAAAGCTGTTATGATTTGGCACAAAAAGACAAAGATGTAATTTCCTTAAATTATGCTATGCTACCTGATGAGGTTCTTCATTATCTAACCACCCTTGAGCTACCTCGAAAGTTCCATTGCACCCAATTGGCAGCCACACTTGATAAGTTACCTTACCAATGTGCTTTAGTAGTTTATATGGATCAACATATCAATGAAAAAGTTTATCATTCTTCCTATTCTACAAAAGTATTAAAGTGTTCTACCGCTCATTTGATGAAAAGATCATTTACACAAAAATGAGAATGAAATTAAAATGATTATTCTAAGCAAAGTGCAATATTTCAATTGAATTGTCAATCATCTTTTTGATCATATTACACTGTTATGAGGGTTGTTGAAGTTGTTAGCATCATCTTTCATTTGATCTAAGGATTGCAAGCAAGCATAAATCTCAAAAAGTTATTGACGACTCTTTTAGTTTTGGCATGTTCAAACTATACTTGACCTTCCATTTTATATGTGAATGTTTTTTATATTGATCTCAGGGGTGTATTGATGCAAAAGAACATAAGTGTGCATGATTAGAATCATCCCATTACATATATCAATTATATGTTACAACCAATAGAAGTGAACTACTTTATACATAAGAGTGTTTAGTAGCAATTTTGGGTTTCAAGAAACATTATACACATTTGCATAATTCTTAAACATTACTAAAAAGTGATCATATTACAATTACTTCATTATTAAAGCAAAGAAACTTAGATGGTTATACAATTCAGTGGGCTTTAAAGCTTTGGATATATAATATTGTTAGTTATTGCCTAAGGAGTTGTATGGCTTATGTAAACACTCTTACTCAAGCTCCTTTATCTTTTTCACTCTCTTCTCCTATTCTTGACAAGTTTGTAATTCCAATATTAGTGGATTTTTGGATGAGGATTCCATGCCAATAGTGATTGATGTACTTAATGTTCAATGTTTATAAGGTATGGAGAAAAATTTGCCTTTTTTTAATGAGGTTCATGAAGTTAAAAAAGTTGAGCTATGGATTTGAAGACTTCGTAATGGATTTGAGAATCCTATGTCATGCTATTTTAATATTTATATTCTCAATATCACTTTAATAATGACCTTATTTATTTTGTTAGGATAAATCTTGATGATCATTTACAACTGGTGGTACTTTTGGTCTTTATTCCATGTTTTCTCCATTCTTACCATGACTATGCTATTCTCGGCAGGTATATAAAATATCATTATATGACTGAAAAGCTACATAAATATTTTTATTAGTTAGAGATATGATATGATGTTATCTAGTATATGTGTAGTTGTATTTAGTGCCAAGCTCATAATATTCCCCCTTGCGCTGCAAAAGGACAGTTAGAGTTAATTATAATTTCTTGTTTATTTGAATTGGTGCAATTTGATTTGATAAAGCCTTTTTCAACAATTAACTGTTAACAATAAGTATGTCATTATTGTTTTTAGTTACTTGACTCATTAGGTGAAAGTTAGTGTTATTGCTAGTGCATCTGCAATTAATATTACATAATTCCTCCTCAATTGGGTGGTGTTCTAGCATTTTTGTCAAGAGCAACTTTTCTCAGATAATAATTGTGTATTTATGGTTGAAGTGTTTTATATTTTAACATCTCCATTAAAGATATGCTATACATTCATGAGTGTTTATCATCCATAGACAAATGGTTTGGTAGAACAACTTGTTCATACCTTCAAAGGGATAGAGGGTGGAGTATGTGATTTTCAACATTTAAACTAAAATGGTTATTTGCTGTTTCTTTAGTATGCGTATGTTATAAGGCTACAAAGTTCTATTAATACTTCATCATATAAACTCTTATATGGTTATGATATGATATTACCAATGGACTTAAGTGTACCTTTGCGATTGCCATAAGCTATTGATGCTAGGTCTTAAATTTAGTATTTAATAAAGATTCTTCCACTAGTTCAAGTAGAATCTACTAAATACTTATGTTGTGTACAATTAGGACAACAATGGCACTACAACTCAACTTACAAAGTATAAAGTAGATGACTTGATGTTAGTTCATTTTCCAAATCTTACAATATATGGTTTGTTTAATGTGCTCTTTGCTCAGTGAAAGGGATTGTATTGAGTGTTGTAATAAGTTGGACCATAAGTTTATAAGGTTTAGCATGATATACAAGAAATTAATCATCCAAAAATTATTTATATATAATGATTAAAACACTTCATACAATGAGATTAGAAATAATTGACACCATCTATAGATATACTAATGCCTCTTTCTAATTTTCCTCTAGATCTTAGCCCATTAATAAAAGAACCCTAACTGCCTTTCATCCTTTTGAGAGGAGGGATGATGTAAAGTTTAAGTATACAACTGTGATGTTATATATTAATATTAGTGTAGTGGGATTTTGATAGCCATTAAATTAGGACTATTTGCTTTTGTATATAAGCTAAGGTTTTAGGGTTAATTGAATATGAATATTTCTATATTCCATTTCAATATTCCATACACTTATAAAGTTATAAATTATATTTATCACAAGAAGCCTTATAGATAGTAACTTAAAAATCAATAAAGAAATAACAATAATGGTATATATATATATATAGTATCCTAAGCCTCTTAATAGATTAGAAAATGAGATGCACTTTATTCATAAGCCCTTTCCCTTAATATTTGAACTTTTATGCATTATCTAATGAGTCATTTTCTTTAGTTACTTACAACAAAGTTACATACTGAATAGAATAAAAATAAGTCATAAAACATATATATAGTAAATATTATATTTGAAAGAGAAATTTATAAAAAAACATTACTAATATTTAAAAATAATATTGATAAAGAGTCCTACATGAGTTATTGTTAAGTGTTGTTAAATATATGCTTCATACAAAAATAAGATATATACATAGCAATAGTTGATGAGGTTCATAGTAATTGCTTAGTTGTTGTAGAAATTTTTATTCCTAGTATAGTAGCAAATTTTTTGGCAAGCTACACTGAGTTAATATAATTTAGATTTTGTAGGCTAATCAAAGACTGCTTGTTGCAATTTGCTTCTAATGTTCAAAATATTTACTATAATGTGAGTATTATTTTCTTGCTTTAGAAAACATGTTATTTAGGTATTGCATGAATGATATGGATTTATATTATTTCTTGGTAAGATAACCCTAATGACAATAATTTTACAAAACTTTATATTCTTGATGATACTTATCTCTTTCCTATGGGACTTTGAGACAGTTGTTTAATTTAAGAACTTTGTGGTTGGGGTGTCTTGGTGTAAAAAGTCAACTACATGGATCCTTGATTAACTGTTGCTTGGTGCAACCTCTTTGATTGAAACAACAATTTTTTCTAAGAAAGGTGACCTTTCTTTTGTATTTCTGATGTAATTAAGTATTTGTTAAAAACACAATTCTAACATGACTATGTACCTCACTTATTTGTTTGAATTGGCTCAAAGTTAAAAAGGTTTGTATTTCAAACTTGTGGCATACTGTCAAATGTTTATTAAAAGAAAACTGAGTTTTGTTTCCTTTCAAAAGGAATAATTCATACTTTAAACAATTGTGTTCTAGTCTCAAAATGTTTTTATTTTATGGTTTGTTTAGTGACTGATTCAGAACAATGATAATTAACTTTTATATTTACAAAACTTGAAAAATGCTCACCATGAGATGGACTCATATAGGTACACAACCTCCTAATAGACACATTTTTTTCTTTGATAAACATCAAAGTCTGTGAATAAATTTTACATATTTTTATGAAGGGGTAAGAGTTTTGAAGATTCATTTCTTTGGAAAGCTATTTTATTTTTCTTATTATTTTCAAAAGATGCCATCTCAGACTGCGAATTATATGAGGAAAAACTATCGGAGTAGTTGCATATAGATACTTCAACCTAGTAGTTGCAACTTTATTCCAAGATTATTAGTAGTTGGATGTAGATGCTCCAGCCTTTTTTCTCATAAAATTCCATGATAATAAATGTCAAGTCTCAAAATGATAATGTTATTTGTTACTAGTAGATAGTAAATACTCCAAGTAGCTAGCTCCAACCTCTACTAGTAACAAAAAATGTTATCATTTGGACACTTGTTTAAAGAAAATCAGAAAAGGAAAGTGCAAAATAATGTTATTATTTCACATATCCTCATAAGTTCCAGGAATTCATAAGAATAATACTGAATCTTTTGCAAATCTGATTGTATACCAAATATATATTTGTTTACAGTCCACTTGTGAACTATATAAATAGTAGAGAAAGTTGGTACACCGAAAGCTGGTATAGAGAAAGTTGGTAAGTTAGAAACTTTATATTACATAAGACCAGTGTTTTGATTATGACTCATACAACATTGAGTCGTATCATGTCCCATCACCATATGTTTTTCTTGGCATTATCATTGAAGAAAGTCATATTCATTTCTTCATCCTAACTTGTGTATATCTTTTAAAATTTCCCTATCTGTAAGGCTAATATAGCTTCTCCACGGCTGCTATTCATAGGAGTCAAGATCTTATGCGACAAGATCTAAAACAGGTTGTACATGCGTAAATCACAAACAAATAAAATATTCCAAATCTATTTCATAGAAATTTTCTAGAACTCAGGAAACAGTTGCAATGAGGCCTCATCAAGCCCAAATACAATCCCCATTTACTTGGAGATTCCACTCGAAAGTAGGGGAAAAGGCGACTCATTAGTTATCACATAATTATCATTGAAATATTCCGGCACAAGACCTCAAAAGCCCTAATTTGGGGCAGCGACGCGGCGATGGATTTCTTCCCTCCAGATCCAAATCGGTCAGGGAAATTTTTTAGCCGGTCTACGACCTTGTTCTTGTTTTCTTCTCTTTGGCGCAATTTGTCTCGTCAGTGATCAGCCCACGATCTGGCCGCTGTGTCCTCACACGTAGCGCCGCGTCAACGGTGAGATGGCTGCCACGGATGTGGAATTTTAGGTGGAAGCTCATGCCTGCTCTTTAACTGACGCTTGTAGCTACCATTTGCATGCAGTGAAAAAAACGTCTCAAATATAAATGCGAGAGACTTCTTCCTCTCCTATGCTGACCCAACCCAAGGTATCACATTTTTCTTCCTCTGAGCTTCGTAGCTAGAGATAAAAAAAGAGAGAGTTTGCAAGTGCGATGGGTTTGATCTTTGGAACTAGCAGTGTTGTGGTTTTGATCCTCCTTTTTTCTGGATTCTTTGTTAGCTATGCTCACGACGAGGAAGCGTGTGGAGAGGTCTCGTCGGCTGCGTTTGCTCCAAAAGGAGATGTCACGCCCGATGACAAGAAGTTACTGGCATTCCCTTTGAATCTCGAGTACCTGGAGACAGAGTTTTTCGCTTATGGGGCTCTGGGCTATGGCTTGGACAAGCTTGATCCCGGCCTTGCGGAGAATGGCCCGGCTCCAAAGGGTGCGCAGAAGGCCAAGCTCGACATTCTGGTTCGTGACATCATCGCCCAGTTTGCTCTGCAAGAAGTTGGTCACTTGAAGTAAGCAAAGTTCTCTCTGTTTTTTTCCTTTTATGGCATTCATTCTTGCTCTTTCTTCTTAGAGCAATCAAGGGGGTTGTAAAGGAAGAAGGCTTCCCAAGGCCTCTGCTGGATCTGAGCGTGGAGAACTGGAACACCATCATGGAGAAGGCATTGGGAATAAAGCTGGATCCTCCTTTCAGTCCTTACGAGAACAGCTTGAACTACATGCTAGCGAGCTATGCCATTCCTTACGTTGGGCTCACTGGCTACGTTGGTGCGAATCCTCTCACTCAGAGCTCTGATGGAAAGAGGGTAAGCAAGAAAAATCCCATTTTTCCTCTTGGTTCTTCAGGTAGCTCTAAAGCTTGCTCTTTGTAGCTCCTTGCTGGGCTCCTCGGTGTCGAGTCCGGACAAGACGCAGTTATTCGGACCTACTTGTACGAGAGAAAGGACACGGTGGTGGAGCCTTACAAGCTTACAGTTCACGAGATCACCAGCAAGCTCAGCTTGCTTCGAAGCAATCTGGACGACGCCACCGGCATCGACGACGAAGGCCTGGTGGTTCCAAAGTGTCTGGGGGCCGAGCAGAAGATCGAAGGCAACATTCTCGTGGGCGATAAGTTCTCGCTGTCCTTCGCTCGGACTCCACAACAGGTTCTTGAGATCGTGTATGGAACCGGCGATGCGAGAAAGCCCGGAGGTTTCTATCCCGATGGAGCGTCCGGAGCCATCGCCACCAAGCTCAGGAAAGCTGCCAATGTCTACTTCTAGAGATTGAAAGAAAAGTTTGAGTGGAGAGGAGGACTCTGTATCTTGTCTCTTGCAATGGACAGTTTCTTTCAGTGCTTTCAAAAGCAAGAAAAAAGAGTTTTTGACTAGCTCGACACGTAGAACCAGTAGACCGCTGAGTAAGGCGACAGGAACACATCGCCAACTTTTGGAGCTCTCGATACTTGCGGTGGCAAACCACCCCTCGTGGAGCGTCTTTGAACATACGTCACCCCTCCGAAAAAGTATCTGGGACCAAGAACAGCAACAACTTGTAAGTTTCTGGCAGAACAGAGAATCCGATCAAGCTTACTTGTCTCCGGTGTTCCCGGTTGCGTGGAGATCCGCCCAAGAAATACTATCGCTCGTGGCGGGCCTCAAAGTATTCACAGGCTTTGCCGTCACGGTGCTCGGCGAGGCAAAGCTCGACCACGTCGGTTGTCCACCGCGAGCGTCCTTGGTCTCGAGAAAGTAGTGGTCGCCAATCACCTCCTGGCCGGGAATCGAAGAAAGCAGCGCGGACGCATTGAAGAGCTGCCAGGCCGAGCCATCAAACCTGTAGTGCTGGAATCCCTCGCCAAAGAGCAAGAACAGTGGCCGAGTGGAATACTTCGCGTCGATGTAGCCGTGGTGTCCCTCGATGACGTCGGAGGCTTGCTGGGTCCAGAATACGTAGTCGGATTTGTATGGAACTGCTTGCGTCATGCCGCCGACTTTGCAAATCTCATCGCTTGGAGCGGTTCCTCCGCGAGTTTTGATCCTCTGGATGTAGGAGGCTCTGCCAAGTCGCGTGTGTCCACTGTGAGAGGTGGCTTGCACCAAGAGATCGTCGATGTTGCCTCGGCCTCCGGATAAGTTGGTTATGGTCTTGCCTGGTCGATCGATCACGAAGAGCAAGAACAATGTTAGCGTTTGAGATGAATAGCAATGCAGTGAAAGTTTCGATAGCTTTATACCTGTGACCGTGCTCGAGGGGAGCTCGGACGAGGAAGAGCCCGGGGTTTTGAGCAAGGACCAAGTTGCTCGGCCTCCTCCAGCATCGGGTTTTGGAAGAAAGTAGTGGAATCCAATCAGGGTGTGGAATTTGGCGTCGAAGAGCTCGGCCTCGGCTCTGTCGAGGGCCCAAGAGAGATGGCCGGTTTTGTTGACATCCACGCACGAGTAGATTTGGAAACCGCTGGCTGTCACCTCGAAATCAATCCTGGAAACAACGAAAAGAGGAAACCAAACTTTAGAACCATCGTCGAGAGAAACTCTTTTAGTTTTTTCGTACGAGTTTCCATCTGGTGGAGAGAGAGAAATCTTGGCTGCCTGGAGCAGCAGAGGGAGAACGACCAGTATGGCGATGAGAATGCCTCGATCTTTCTCCATGCTTGTGGCTATGGAGCTTTGTTCTATCTTTCTTTTCTTTCTTGGTGGTGCTTGCTTGCTAGAACTCTCTTGGGATAGCGCCAGTGTCGATCGAATTGCTCTGGAATTGAATGAGTATGGTCGGGCGCTATTTAAATGGAAGAATGAGAAGACCCAGTCGCGAGACGATGGAGCGCGTCATGCACAGCGACTGTGCACTGAGTCCCGACCATATCGAAAAGACTGCGCCAGCGCCGTGGCTGTTGCTCCGGCGTATGATCCATGCCAGAAGAAACAATCGGCAAAACCAAATCAAAAGCTCTTCCGTTTTGGAAGGCCACTGGAAGAAGAATTTGAAGTGGTATTCATCTCTCATTCCTCTTCTTGCAGTGGCCATCCAACAGAGAAACTTTCACCGCGAAAATACACACAAAGAATATTCGAATAGTTATATTCTGTTAGATTCCGCATGACGTGGCACTCAAGATAACGCAAAGGTGGGGACCCTTCTTATTTTAGTTTCACAAGTCACGCATCTATATCAATTGGAAGAACTCACGAGTTTCTTCATTGATTCTCGGGAGTGTTGCTAGAGTTTTTCGTGTTCGCTTGGATTTGCAAGGATGATCCTTGTTGTTGGTGGTTGTGTCTTCCACCTCCTCCGGCGGATCCATTCGCAGCAGCTTGCTCCTCCTCCTCCTCTTGCCAGCTCGATCCTTGCAAGCGCAGCAACTGTAGCCTCCGAAACTCATCGTAGTGCGCTCGCCGGAGCTCCGCGAATCGCTGGTGTTCTTCTGGGCAATGGACATCGTCTATATGAACTATGATCCAGGCAAAATGGAACCTTGATCTTACCCCGGCGATCCTCGGTTTCATCCTCGGACGATGTCCACCCACTGCTCCTCCGCCATCTCCTCCCGCCGGTGCCGTTGCTCGAGGACGACGCGAGTAGCGCGCTCGTGACGGCCTCCGGATCCACGGACGAGGATTCGTCGCAAACTCTCATCCCGTCCAAATCGTCGGTCAGCGGTGAGATCATCCCTGGAAAGTGGACGATCCATCTCTTGCTCGTCTTCCAAATGGAGGAATTCTTACCGTCGCTGGCCTCCGGGGCGTGATACGGCGTCTTTGGCTCCGTGATCTTCTTCTTGGGGCTCTTGTTCGCTTCCAGGTAGTCGAGATTGTCCTCGTCCCACGCGACGCGAGCTCTGATCAATCCAAGAGATGAACCGAATCGCTAGAAAGCGCATTGCGTTACCTCGCCTTGGATCTGCCGCTCTTCTTCACGCTCATCCTCCTCGACCGCGACGCCCTAAAACCCTAGAGCGATGGAAGCTAAATACTTTCTCTTCTTCTTCCTCCACTCGATCGATCGGCCAGGGCGCTGGCGAGCAGCACGTAGGACGATGCCATCTCCGGCTCCAGCACTGATGCATTCCCCGCTGCCTGCGCCGCCAGATCCACGTCGCGCTGCGTCGCGCTCGCACCGAGCAGCGCCCCCCAATCCGTGGCGTCCGGCGAGAACGGCATCGATCGGACGAGCTCCTCGGCGTGCCCCAGATCTCCCGATCGCCCCAGCAGATCCACCACGCACGAGAAGTGCTCTCGCGAGGGCCGGATTCCCCGATCTTGGATCATCGACACGAAATATTTCCAGCCCCGGTCGCGCCATCCCAGCCGGCTACACGCAGCGATGGCGCTCATGAAGGAGAATCGATCGGGGTCCAGGCCCTGGAGCTCCATCGCCTGGACGAGCTCGATGATCATGCGGTGGCCGGACTCGGCATACACGCCGATCATCGTGTTCCAGCAGACCAGATCCCTCTCCGGCATCGTCTCAAACATCCTGCGCGCTCGATCGAGATGGCCGGCGTGGGAGAACGCCGCGATCATCCACGTCCACATGACTGGATCGCGCTCCGGCACCAGATCGAAGAGCGTCTTTGCCCGATCCAGCATCTTGCCCGATATTACGGCGCCATCGCTCTCTCCTGATCCTTGCTCGTGGAGATTCTCGAGGAGCTCCGGCCGATCGACGCGCAGGGAATACGCCGCGAGGAGCGCGCTCCAAGAGACCAGATCCCACGCCGGCATTCCATCGAAGCGCGATTTCGCCGCCTCCAAATCCCCGCTAGCGGCGTGCGCCGCAAGCATCGCCGTGCACGCCACCATATCCCACGCCGGCATCGCCTGGAATGTAGCCGCGGCCTCCCGGATTTGCCCGTGGCAAGCGTACGCCTGGATCATCGTCGTCCAAGACATAGGGTTTCTCTCGGGCATATCATCGAAGATCTCCTTGCTGCGCTCGACCTGGCCGGCAAGCGCGTAGATCTGGACCATGGCCGTCCACGACACCACATTCCTTTCGGGCATCGCATCAAACGTCGCCCTAGCGAGCCCTAGATGCCCGCTCTCGGCATATGCGTGGAGCATCGCGGTCCAAGACACAACGTTCCTCTCGGGCATGGAGTCGAATATTCTTCTAGCTTCAAGCATATGCCCACCTTGGGCATATGCCGTGAGCATTGAGGTCCACGTCACCACGTTTCTCTCGGGCATGGCCCAGAAGAGGCCCGCGGCTTCTCCGAGCAAGGTGTTTGCACCATACGCCGCGATTAGGGCATTCCAGGAGATGATGTCCCGGGCGGGCATAGAGTTGAACAAGCGCCTTGCTGTCTCACAATGCCCACTTGTGGCATATGCCGTAATTAGGGCATTCCACGCGGCAATGCTTTGCGCGGGCATCGAATCAAAGAGCGCCTGTGCCTCATGAAGATCCTGCCGTTGTGAAAATGCCGCGATCATGGCCGTCCATGATACGAGGTTGTGCTCGGGCATGGAATCGAATATCCTTCGCGCCTGAACAAGATGCCCATTATCGGCATATGCCGTGAGGAGGATGCACCACGAGTAGACGTTGGGCTCGCCGATGGATTCGAATATCCCTCGCGCGGCGTCGACGTGGCCGCACCTTCCATACATTTGGATGAGGAGATTCGAGAGGAGTCTGCTATGGCCAAGGCCCCTCTCGAGAATCGAGCAGTGGATGCGCTTGCCCTCGCCCACATCCCGGCAGCTTGCTAAGAGCCGAGCAAACGAATCCTTGGCGGAGGTCGTGGCGTCGCCCGACGGAGCCCTAAAGTCGTCGAGCGCTTGTCTTGCGAGCTCCAAGGCATCATGGCGCATTGGACATGGGTAGAGCCACCTAAGCCCTACATTTTCAAAGCGCTTTGCGCGGGAAGGGCTAGGGTTGGGGATTTTGATGGAATGGAAGATCTACGAAGCACTGAGGTCTTGCAATAATCTCGCGGAGCTCCGAGAAGTCCACTCCAATCTCCCTGCTAAGAATCATCCTCCCAGGCAGGTCTCCAGCTTGCTAATTGAGCTCTATGGCAAGTATGGGAGCGTGATCGAGGCCCGCCAGGTTTATGAGCGCATCCAACGCCCAGATCTCTTCGCGCGGAGCGTGATGATGGTAGCCTATGGCCGGAATGGGTATCTAGAAGATGCCCAGCGCACATTCTGGGCCATGCCGGAGCACAACGTCGTGACGTGGACGTCCATGATTGGGCTATACGGGCGGGCCGGCCGCGTGGACGACGCTAAGTGGCTTTTTGACGCGATGCCCATGTGGAACGTGGTGAGCTGGAATGCCGTCGTGGCAGCATATGCCCAAAATGGGCATCTGTTCCAGTCGAGGAGGATGCTCGAGGAGATGCCCGAGCACGATGCCGTGTCTTGGAATATCCTCCTCTCGGGGCTGGCTAGGGTTTTGGATGTGGCGGGCGCCAAGGCGGTGTTCGATCGCCTCCCCGAGGTCACGATCGTGTCGTGCAACATCATGGTCGCGGCGTATTCATCGATCGGCTGCTGGAATCTGGCGGAGGAGCTGCTGGATCGAATGCCCGAGCAGAGCGTCGTGTCCTGGAACACGGCGCTGTCGATCTTGGCCCAGAACGGGCATCTCGGCCAGGCGAAGATCGTCTTTGACAGGATGCCGGAGCGGAGCGTGTTCTCCTGGACGGCGATCATGACGGCGTATTCCAGTGCCGGGAAGATCGACGAGGCGAGGAGCTTGCTCGATCAGATGCCGGAGTGGAGCGTGGTGGCTTGGAATGCGATGATCGCGGTCTATGCCCGGTCCGGGCATATGGCTGCTGCCGAGAGCGTCTTTTCGGGATTGCCTGAGAAAGATCTCGTCTCCTGGAACACGATTCTTGCCGGCTATGGCGAGAATGACTCGCTGGAGCATGCGAGGTATGTGTTTGATTTGATGAGCGAGAGGAATGCTGTGTCCTGGACGGCTGTGGTGGTAGCATATGCCCAGAAAGGGGAAATTGGAGAGGCCAAGAAGCTGTTCGCTATGATGCCTGGGCAGGAATTGGTAGCCTGGAACGCGATTATCTGTGAGAGTGGGCGAAGCTCTAGGCACTGCCGGGATTCCATGGAGCTCTTCCACGAGATGGTGTTGCTGGGTGTGGATCCGGACGAGGTTTCTTTCACGGGAGTTCTAAACGCTTGCAGCCATGCCGGATACTTGGATCGCAGCTTGCACTATCTCTCGAGTATGTGGAGCGATCACGGCTTGACGCCCATGAAGGAGCAGCTTTGCTGCTTGATAGATGTTCTTGGTCGAGCTGGGCGATTGAAGGAGGCCGAGGTGGCGACGAAGAAGATGAGCTTCAACGGTGTTTTGGAGTGGAAGGCGTTGCTAGCGGCGTGTAAGATCCATGGCGACGTCTCTCTTGCGGCTAATGCAGCCAAGCGTGTTCTTGGTTTGGATCCAGGGAATTGTGCTGCGTTCAAGCTGCTCCAAAACATTTATTCCGAGAAGATGGAGTGATTGCAAACAATGATATCATCTTCGTTGGCGACCACCTTCTAGCTTCACAGGCAAAGTGAATCAAATCAGGTTTCTCGTCAACTTGTCAAGATTTTGTTTTTGCAGGACTTCCTCGGTAGAAATCGCGAAGATCGTCCTGTCCACAGTGAAGGATCTGAAAACTTCGAAGGATCCAGATTTCAAAAATTTCAGAACTTTGGAAAGCTCTTTACCTTTCTATTGGTACGTGTGCATTCTAAACTCTTTTTTCCTGGATGAAGTGATATCGTTTTTTGCAGCTGGTCCAGAAACCCCAGAACTATTAAGTGCGAGTTTCGGCAATGAGCCTCTACTTTGCTCCGGAATTTGGATCACGCTGTACAGTATTCTGGTGTTATTGCTTGAAAAGGTTTACTTGAAGTTCCAGTTCACATCTCGAAAGGTAAATCTTTTTATTTTCTTTTCTCGTGTCTTGGTAAGGACGCTCGAACTGGTTGTTTGTACAGGTGCAGCATATAGACACGAGAATTGATTATTGTACCAATGCGAGCAGAAACAAATCCTCCAGGTTTGAAATTTCCACGGGCGTGCTGTTGTGCACATCTGATTTTATTTTTTTGTTGTTGTTTGTGGTCTTACTAATGGTATGCTACTGCTCTAGTAGCTGCTATCTGACGGTGCTACTGCACTTACTCAATGATCGCGTCATTCACAGCGTCGTCACTCACGGAAGTCAGTAAGTGTGCGTCTTTTGCTTCGTTCTGGTTATCAGGGTCCGTCGTTGCTCATTAGCAAATACCAATGGCTTACGCTACGTGTGCTTTAGGTATTTTCTCCTGTATTTGCTGATAACGACTTGGAAGACGACCTTTGCAACAAGGCGAGAGAGATGCTACAGGTACTTTCTCTCTTTTTTTTATCAAGAAGTATTGATGTATGGATCACTGTTTTGTCACAAAGAGCTCTTTGTGTTTTTGTGTCAGGGAGGCATTGAAGGTGTCCGTCCGTCCATGAAATCCAGCTGGTAAGATTCACAAGCAATCCTTTCTTTTTATGTGGCACCTAAAGCCAGGGCGTAGCATCTAGCACGATGAACTGTTACTGCTTGGATCATACTTTGAAACGGTTTTTTGTTTTCTTACCAGGGGCGGGCTTGTCGCGTGCTTTGCTTTCGCATTAAGGCGCAAAATCGGAAGACTAACAGCACAAGTGCTGAGCCGAGCAAGAACATAAGTAAGAGAGCGCTTGGGCTTGTAAGTATCAAGCACGCCATCTCTTTTCCAGCGCTGATTCACGTGTTTTTCAGTGCCATCCATGCGAGAGGGCGGGGCTATTCTGGCTCGTTGACTTAAAAGCTAAGCTCAAAAGTGGAGCTTCACAGCAGGAGTGTGGGCATATTCTCGGGCAATCAATTTGGCGAAAGCAACAGAGAGGGTACATACAAAGCTCCCTCGTCTTTATTCAGGTGAGTAATATTTTAGCTGGCATTCCCAAAGGGATGACTGGATGGTGATAGATATATTTCTTTTCTGTTTTTTTTTTTCCTTCTATGCTTTGCTGCATCATATCGAAACTGCTTCTGAAATGCATCCCCAGTAGTGTCATGGAATCGTCTCTGCAAGCTACGTATCGAGAAATTGTTTAAAATGTGTCTAGAAGTCGTCTGGGCCGCTTGACCATGGAGTTACACCTTCTCGGTGTCATGAAATGGACAAGTGCGGGTTTAGAGTTCAGTCCCTCTTTCTTTCTCTCCCGCTTGTATGTATTTTATGCTCTTGTTTGCATTGTTTTCTGTTTTGTTTATCTTTCACTTTCTCGCCTGCTAACACATCTGCTGGTCCACAGATGGGAGCAAAACTCAAGGGGGGTGGGGTTGGAGATGGTGGGGATCGAAAGAAAAGGAAAAGAGGTGGCTCCATTTAGAACTTGGTGGCTACGGCCCCTGGCGCCTTCACTTAAAAGGGGTCGGTGTCTTTGAGCGCATATCACTGCTGACGCTGTAGCGAGCGTAGAAGAAGTACGTGGAGATCTATAGCCCAGATGCACAGCTCCAAAGTCGTGACCCACCACCATCTTTTGAGAACGTCAGCCTCCCGCGCAAATGATTTTGACAAGCTTGGCGCAGCTGCTTTCAGGACCATCTGGTATTTATATTATCTTTTCTGCTACAAACAATTGCTAATCATGATCTCTCTCCAGGGGTGGCTTGGGAGGGATTTGGAAAACTCTGGAGCTTTCTTGTAAGTTGGAGTGGGTTTTATCATTCGTGTCCTGTCTCTCGGCCCAGTCCAGGGGTTTTTCTTTCTTTCCTTCTTTCTTTTTGCGATGCTCAGATTTTGTTTGTTCCTGCGTGGTGTCGGTAGAATGGTGCCTTCGCAAAGTGGAGGTTGTATCACTTTCCTTGGGGTCTGGGGTCTGTCCTCCTCATATGCGTCCTTTTTATTTCACTTTCTTCTGTACTTCGAATCTTCTGCTACTCTTCTTCTCTCTTTGCCTTTGTTTATAGTCAATCCCAGAGTTTACTCCACCCCATTCGCCCCAGCTCAGAGGAGCAAAGAAACAACAGGCCAGGCTTGAACCAGCCCCATATGCTTTTCTTTATGGTGCCCATTAAATGGAATCGTCCCTTGTCTGATTGCTGGCCGGGGCTTAGTACAGATTCATTCACTCATGAAGTTTGCTTGTTTGTTTCCCGCAGACTCAAACTTGAGGGACTGAGACTTGCTTTGGCGCTTTTGTTTTACTACTGGTGCCGAGAGAGCTGAGTGGCCGCACAAGCTGCCGATTGCTTTTCGTGTGGTGCCTGCGTCTGCGGTGTACATTCTCTTCCGGTACTCTTTACTTTACGACCAGCTAACCTCTCTCGTAACTTGTAAGAAGATGCTCCTGTGACCGACATGCCATCACCATCGCCACGATGTGTCCGTGTATCTGGCTGGCTACGATGCAGCATCGTAAGTTCCTAGGCAAAGAGAAAAGAGCAGGGAAAGAAAAGATAAACCAGTTTTCACTTGCTTCTCAGATTCTTTCCACTGTGATCCCGCAATTAACCACTGTTTCTTTCTTTCTCTCTTGTCTTTTCCAGGTCTTGCTGCTCGCTCCTGACGTCCCATATTCAATGACACCGAGACAAAGGCGAAAAAGGCATGTCACCCAGAGTTTGGATGGATTGGCCTTGGATCCATGTCACTCGAACTCAAAGACAGGGGCCGCTGCTGCTCAAAGACATTCAAACGATTTGTCGCGGGAGCCTTCATGGACCACAGCTGATTATGGCCGGGCTGTTTTTCTGCAGAGGCAGGCAATTTGTGGAGTATCGGTTTATTCCTCGGCTTCCAATCTACATCCGGAAAGGCATGGCTGCAAGGCGGAACTTAATACCCGCTGGACTGGCCCCTGCGCCTCGAGAGCGAGGCACCAATCAAGTTATCGCAATCCGGAGGCCGCATTCAATGGCCAAACTTACACAGCAAACCAACTGGAAGACACAGCGACACACTCACCACTACTACTACTACTACCACTGCTGCTGCTTCACTTCGCATTCCCCGGCATTACTCGCGCGACCAGATTGCACCAGGTTACGCATTTACTGTTAACAACAGGTTCGTTTCTTTTCTTTTACCTTTTTCTGCATTGCATTCTTCTTCAGTCGGGAGTTTATCATTCGCCAACTTCGTCAGTCAGTTCCTTACTCTTTTTTTTCCCCCCAGCTTTTATTTTGACGCAGCTCGCTCAATCTCCGGTTTGAGGCACAGAATCAGAACAACGACAGACGGCTACAACATTATATATTTACTGCCCGCCGACGACCACACCACACTCGGCATTAGTTTTCTCTCCTAATCTTGCGGAGCTCCACAAGGAAAAGGGTCAAGTGCAATGGTTTTAGCGAGGTAAGCTCCCTCGTTTTCTTATAATACTTTGTGTTGTGTGTCTAAGGGCTAAACTTTGAGTTTCCAGACGAAGCAACGCAAAAGCCCAACGCTTGACCCTTCGGGAGGGGCGGACGGGCACAGAAAAAGATTCTCACATCTCTGTAAGTTATTCCAATAATGCTCGGCGATGGACTTTGTACGTGACTCGAAGCATGTTGTGCAGTGCTTTTTCTTCTTTTTGCAGTGCTCCCCAACTTAAATATCTTTGCGAACGTTCAAAGCAACAAAGGAAAAGAATGGCGATTGGGAATTAAAAAAGAGGAAACTCTCCCGGGCGAGATGATATTTGGAAGGGCGGATCAACGCGAAAGTCTCTGGAAGAATAGTTGAAAAGGTGATATGTTCCTGTGCGAGGATTTGGGCTGTGTGCCAGCGCTGGCTCTGGATCCATGGTCACGCAAACCATCCAGATCGAATAAAAATTTTATTTTGTCCGAGAAAATCCGAGATTCCTTCCTGCTAACTTAATCCAGATCTCACATGCATGGACTAGTTTTTAAGATCGAGATTATCTGCTTCAGTCGTGCCAAACTCTTATTTTTATGCTTTCTTTCCAAAGGGTGACGCATGCATCAACCCATTGTTTGTTAGTTCGTTCGTCCCAGAAGCTTATTATTGTATTAGAATCATACGAGCGTCATAGTTTAGAATAGCGATAGAGGGACCCTTTTTTTCTTTGCTGCGCATCTTGCATAGTATCACACATATATTCAAATCTTGCTGGCTTGGCTGGCGCGATTACAAACAATATGGAATAAACTTTAGACACACGGTGTGTGATTCGATTCGGTATAGCAGTTGGTGTTCACTCATTTTTGGAATCGGCATCTGCCGCCGCTCGGCCAGACAGAGATTCCCTCCTAGGTCGTACAGCGGCGGGTGGCCACCCGCCACTGGCCCAAAGAAATGCCCGCGAAAAGAATATCCTCTGCGCTTGCTCCGTACCGTAGAAATTGTCACAGTGAAACTTCCGAGAAAACAATGTCAAACAAGAGATTTGATCTCGTGGGGGGAGCACATCAAGTAAGTTATTAATCATGGGTGCATGCATGAACCTCTCCAAGCTCGCGTTTTCTAGGGTTTGTAGGAGATACGTATTATAGATGGGAACTTAAGTATGATTTGGCTCGGCTGGAACTAAATCAGACCCAGACAACCGAATCGATTGAAACTCTCAGTTTTGGACTAGGCCGTAGTTGTCTTGCCAAAATCTGTACAATTCAATGCGCATAGGAAGCATCTCTATAGTGTGTGAGGTTTTGGCTCACTCACAGATGCCTAGCTTAGGCATTTGGGTTACGTCACTCCAAATCTAGGTTAAAAGTCTACACTTCACACACGCGAGATACTCTTTGGCCAATCAATCTGATCTGACCAAGTGCTTTGCTTCCTTGTCAACGGCCACTGGGACGGGGTAGGAATATGCTTGGCCAATATCGGCAATGATTCCCTTTGTGGTCGTAGTCGTCCCGGTCGTCGTTTTCAAGGCGATACGTATTTTCTACCTTTTTTTTTTCTTTCTCTACGTTTGCGTGAAAGCTTTGGATCATTGTCAAGTATGGACAAATGTAAATATGTGATGTGTGTGTCACACAGTTAGCCAGCAAACTGTTAAAGGCATTTTGATAACAAAAAATCTGCCCTCTGGGCATTTATTTGTTTAAGGAATGGAGGTGAAAGGTATAGCCAGCCACCTTTGGAATCCAAAACACCAGGAGCTAGTTAAAAAAATGTCCAGTAAAACAATTTTTTAACCCTCACCCCCCAAGTGAATTCCTGCTTGGAAAGACACAAAAGCTTTGTCTTTGGCACTTAAAGTGTGACCCTCAAAAAAAAAAGGAAGGAAAATGCGACTTTTTTTTTTTCTCGCGCCACGAATATGCCAACGAGAAAGAATCCCCCCCTATATTTCATTCTTTTTGGCATTCATTGTTTCACGCCTCACGGAATCACTACCTTGTTAGACAGAGATACATACATAGATAGACAAGATGGATAGGGAAATGGGAAGCTTTATTCCCTCCTCCACACTACTACTACTACTACTACTACTACTCGCTCACTCCCATCACTCCACAGTCACTGTTTGTTTGGAGGAGCTCTTGGATGATTCTTCTTGTTGGTGTCCTACTCCCAATTCGTGAAACATTCCATCAGAGTTTGCTTATTCGTGAAAGCCAAGGTAGATCTTCTCTTCTTCTCTCTTCCTCGCTTCTTCGTTCTTCTCCTTCGTTTTGCTCCAAATTCCACAGGGTAGCGATTGATTGCTTGACTGATTGATTGATTGATTGGTTGAGTGATTGGTCACAGAACCAAGCAACCAAGGGGCCACTCCACCAGCGATCTCCGACATCCCTTGCAAGCCAGGCTACTCGCGAACTTTCTCCTTCCACCAACACGAGAAGTTGGGAGAACGAACGCAGGAAAGAAAGAAAAAGAGAGAGCTCTTACTTGCATGAGTCGCGGAGCTGCGAATTCGATGCGATGCGGCGGGAATTGGGGAACGTTGGCAGCAGCAGTGTCACTCGAGTGACGGGATCGATCGACCGTCTCTTCGTCGTTGCGAAGATCAATCCCGACCAAAGGTGGTGTCCGAACGATGCCGTCGACGAGGATGAGCGAAACGAGAGAAGAAGAGCTGCCGCTACTGCCACGGTGGTGAGTAGCTATGATACCACTCTGCTTTCTAGGCTCCAGGCCCATCAATTCTCCTCGTCCTCCTCCTTTTCTTGCTCCTCCTCTAAGCATTAACTCGAGGCCTTCTGCTTCATCTTCTTCTTCGTCTTACGCTGGCTGCCCGCTGGCCATCATCACGAACTCTTAGTCGTCGTCACTGGCGTCATTGATCGAAGCAAAGTTTCTCGAGATCCCAAAGTTCCTGCGGCTGCTGGAATGCAATATCTCCATCTCTTGTGCTACCAAGAGCCACCGTCGCAAAACAAGCAGCTCTGCCTTGTCTTCCATGAGATGCAACAGCAGCCACCATCGTCTCACCAGCATCACCACCAGGAGCAGCCGCAATTCCTCGGCCACACAGGAGGAATAGGAACTGGAGCTGGAGCTGGGACTGGATTTGGATTCGGAGTAGGCGGAGCCGGGAGCGAGGGTAGCAGCGGCGGAGCTGGGACTCATCACAACGACGGTGGCTTGCGGGAGTTGCTGGTCGAGTGTGCAGCATCGGTAACGTCCTCCGACTGGCACCGAGCTATCCGCTGCCTCGTCCACCTGAGCCGCGCGGCCTCCCCGCACGGCGACGCGGTCGAGCGCCTGGCCTTCTACTTCTCCGCTGCGCTCGCTCGATGCCTCTGCTCGCTGTCCACTCCCTGCGCCTCGGAAATCCGGTCGCTACTCCGCTTGAACAACCTCCACTTCCTGCTCGAGGAGGACCAGCCGCCGCCATCTTTCGAGGATGACTTGTTCTACTACTCGGGCGGAGCCGAGGAGGCCTATCTCGCTCTCAACCAGGTGACGCCTTTCATCCGCTTCTCACACCTCAGCGCCAATCAGGCCATCCTGGAAGCCGTCGACAACGAGCGAGCCGTCCACATTGTCGACCTCGGGATCATGCAGGGTCTCCAGTGGCCGCCGCTGATGCAAGCTCTGGTTGAGAGGCGGCGGCTCAAGCAGCTCGAGGAGGAAGGGCAGCAGCAGCAACAGCAACAGCCACCACCTTCGTCGCCAAGTTCGTTAGAGCACGAAGAGCAATCCTCCGAAGTTGGCCGTCAAGCTCACGGCGAGGAGCCACCCACGTTGTCGTCCTCGTCCTCGTCCTCGTCCACCACCTTGACGCTGAGAATCACCGGCACCGGTCCCTCGATCTCGCTCCTCGAGCAGACTGGAGCCAGGCTGCGAGACTTCGCACGAACTCTCCATCTCGACTTCGAATTCGACGCGGTCTGTACCACCAGCCGCCACGTCGTGGCTTCGCTCCAGCAGCACCTCGAGCTCCGCCGCGGCGAGGCGCTCGTCGTCAATTGCATGACACAGCTGCACAAGCTGCTGCCGGCTGCGCACCGTGCGGCACTGCCCCACGCGCTAGAGTTTATGAGATCGCTGTGCCCCCGGATCCTGACGGTCGCGGAGAAGGAGTCGGAGCACGACCTGAGCCAGAGCTTCCTCGAGAGGTTCCTGGTGACGCTGGACCACTACGTGGCTGTCTTCGACTCCCTGGAAGCTACACTGCCACCGCGAAGTCCCCAGCGGCTGATGATTGAGCGGCTTGTCCTGGCCAAAGAAATATCCGGCATTGTCCTCGAGGACGGAGGTGGCGACGACGAGAACTTGGCTGTGGTCCGGCACCAGAGCTTCGGCAATTGGAGACGAGACATGGAGGCTGCAGGGTTCCAACTTGTACCACCCAGCGATTTTGCGATTGCTCAGGCAAAGCTGCTACTCCGGTTGCACTATCCTGCTGACGGGTACCGGCTTCTGGTGGAGAACCAGCACGGCTCCCTGTTTCTAAGTTGGCACGACAAGCCCCTGGTTGCTCTCTCCACTTGGAGTTGCTGAATCACATCCGCTGCTCGTATTGAAGGCCTCGTTTCTGAGATCGTTACTAGTCTCACAAACGAAGAAGAGAACCTCCTCTTGCTTCCTCTTTTCCTGCTAATCCCCCAAAAATTATTTTTCTCCTGCTGATAACCAGTGAAGATTAACCGGCCAAACCCAGAACTTTGCAGGATGGAGTCATTTGCCTGTTGTTGATAGTGTCTTTCTTTAACGAAACCCCCCCATTTTGTCGTTGATTTGATGTAACTTTCAGTAAAAGCAAACTCTGCGCAAACCTTTGCAATCTAAGTCTGTAACGTACAATGCGGTGTCAAGGACTAGAAGTATATCAAACGGAACTCACACCCTTGAGCGGCACAGCAAAAATTCCGGTCGCTTCTCCTTCCTACTACTGGCTTATGTACTTGTCGGGCTGCTCTTGAAGCAGCTTCGCAGACGCCTTCGCATCTAAGAAGAGATCTACCAAGTCCTCCAAATCCCCCTGCAATATCAGCAACTTGTTTGCTAAGATCTCCAGTAGATCACACACAAGTTATGGCCATTTTTACCTTAGCAATTTCATCACGCCCGTTTGTACGTGCTATTATAGAGGCCGGGGTCAGCAACTGCACAGCATGCCTGTACACGCATTAAAATTACATGGGGCTCCAAGTACACGAGATGTGTCTAGAAGGCTTACCTCAGCGACGTTTTCTCCCCGACTTCACCCAGGAACGCCAAGCTCTCCTCGTCGATGGTAAGTCCTTCAACTTGCGCACGAATTGCTAGTATCTGAAAGAGCATAAAGCGCACTTGCCTTCACCAGTAGAACTTAGTTTAAAAGTCGAGATACCTGAACCATCTCAGCAGGAGTGTAAGGAAGTGTTCGAATAATCACAAGGCGGTCCAATAGGTCGACCGGTATTCCGTGTGGACTACTGATGTCCGTCCCCCTGCCATTGGAAAAATATTCGCTCAGCGTGCTAGCTTACAGGAGATAGGCAACTACCTGATGTTACAGATACCCCGATTCGTAGCAAAAATCACTATAGGTGCTAGAGAACTTTCTAAAGCGCGATTCAGATATGTGAAGCACTCCATATCCAGCATGTGTACCTGGACGACAAGCATTAGATCACAAAAGTCACTCCTCACAATTCAGAATTTACAAAGCGCAAGACATACCTCGTCAATAAATAGGACACCAGGTACAAGCTCCGCCACTCCTTGATCAATATACCTATTAACCACCTGCCACAAACATGCCACACATAATCCTTTAGACAATAGAAAATCCTCGAAACAGGAGAGCTGACGAACGCCGGCTGCTAACCTTGTTGATTTCCTGCCGCAGCTTATCAGTGATCTCAGTCTTTTTCGGCTTCATCATCTGTCCCATCATGGAAAGAATATCTTGTCCACCTTGAGGACGCGCATTTGCAGCATCTAGATCATGCAGTGTGACGTCCTGAATACACCCACTTGCTGTGTGAAGAGAAACTGGACCCTTTCATCACAGTTAGTACCTGAACGATTTCTTTCTTCTTGTGAACCTCTCCTTTCGGTAGAGGAACATACTCCTCCGCTTCAAGGTCGAATTCGGTCGCGAAAGCATCACTTCGTCCAACTCGTTTCACAGCACCGCTGTTGGCTTCAATGTAGATGACATCTCCCACTGCTACCTGACGATAACAGTTTCAAAACCAGCAAAGAGCAAAACCGTCGGAAACCATCACCTTTTCTTTTATAAGAGCGTCGTATATAACGGGGTCGAGTTTAAGCTGCTTGGAGCCCTTCACAGTCTTCAAACCAATAATCACGTGGTGGATGCTTTTGCCGTAGCCACCGGTGGTACTCTCGGTCTCCTCTGGAGTTAATTCAGTCACCTTTAAAAAAGAAAAAGCGAAGAAACAAAGTGCTTAGAATGAATGTTAGAATGAAAACATACTTCTCCTTCGTAAACTTCCTTCGTCTCCTTTATACGCAGGCCGATCGAGCGACGAAAGTTTTCCATGAGAACTTCGGTCTTCTTAACTTCGGAAGAGAAAACCTCCGATCCCACCATTGGACAAAATGGAACCTGGAACCACAGAACAAAATTCCCATTGTATGAAGGAAAGAGAAGAAATGAGCTTGAAACAAACCTTGCTGCCTAGCTCCTGAGCTATGCCCAATGCGATGGCTGTTTTCCCGGAAGCAGGGCATCCGGCAAGCAGCAATGCGCGACCAGCCATTTTTTTCCCGCGGATCATCTCCACAACAAGCCCCGCCGCCTCGCGAGCTTGCTCCTGGCCGACGAATCCCGACCCCATTCCCAGTGCCGTCCCATCGTCCTGGAAATATTTCCGTTCCTCACACTGCTACAGCGATCGATCGCGTACCTGGAGGCCGAGGCCCTTGATGTGGCTGTGACTAGCTATGCGCTGCTTCTTCGTCGTGGACTGGACATCCTCGATCTTCATGGCGACGGCGATGGCACCCGGCGCTTGGAGCTCGATTGAAAGCCCTAGTTAGTTGCACTGCGATTGTACATCCGCCGTTAAAAGCCAATGGCTAGGATAGATGAGAATATCCTAAGAATCATTTTGAAATTTGAAATTTTTGCTAGTCTTCTTCCTCCTCGTCCTCGTCTTCGTCTCCTTCTTCCTCCTCGAATTCTCCCTCTTCTTCCTCGTATTCTTCCTGTTCTTCGTGGCCTTCTTCCTCGTCAAAGAGCGATGAAATGCCTTCGTAGTCGATCTCTTCGGGCTGCGCCGCCTTCGCTGCCTTTGGCGTCGCCGGTTCTTCGCCTTCATCACCGCCGCCGCCGAGCGATGGACGCATTGAGAGCATTATCTTTAGAGGCAAGCAGCAGCAGCCACAGAGTGGTGTCAAGATCCCCATGCCCTGAAGCAAAAGTAGAACATAGAAAGCTGCAAGAAATTCCGAGTGAGATCCGGAGAACTGTGTGATCAACTCGGAACTTTACCCAGTGCTGCAGCCACAAGGCCTCCAACAAAGAAGAGGATCTTCTTGACACAAAAGTGAGCGATGAAGCATCCAATGTCGAATGCTCCAGGGCAGTTGCTGCATGGAAAAGTTATACAAGAACGAACGCTAAATGAATGAATGGTTTGCTTACTCGCATTTGCCGAGCAGATTGTTGAAGAGACCAAACATTTTCCTGAAGGGAGATGTCACGACATTGAACGCGCCCTTGGCAATTCCTTTGATTCCCGCTCCAATCTTTCCAAAGAAACCCAAACCACCTAGTCCTTTCGCGAATGTATCGTTTTTTGATCCTGCTATTTGAACTCCACCCTGGTTACAAGCCACAAAATCAATTCATGACAAAAAGTGGTGGATCACTGTGCACACATACCACTTGCGAGCCGTTATTGAAAACGGTAGCGGTGGTGGAGAACTTGGCCTCCTTGACATCGCAGTTTTCTCCTTCGGAATCACGGAGTGTCACTGCAGAGAAAGAAACAAACAGATTGAAAATAAAGAGACTGAATGCAATACCGATGCAGGAGTTTTTCGTTGCATCTGTGCTCCTCGTTATCAATGTGTATAAAAAAGTTTGAGGAACATTGGGTATCATGGAAACCCTTTTTCCCTGAAACAAAATGCTAATCAGGAAACAGAGAACGGTGGAAGTTTGTGAGAGAAGAGAAACTTCTTTACCTCCAAAGGATTGATGTTTGCCGAACATTCCACCTACAGAAGAGACCAGAGTTAAAAGCCTCGCCATGCAGCTTCTAAAGCAAGTACTCACATACACGCCATAGGACGCCTCCAGTGATCCGTCATTCACCACTGTAAGCGTCAGAGTCCCGCCGGTGGACATTGCCTCAAAAGGCGGCACCTCAACCTTGACAATTTTTCCAGTACTCCTGCAACCAATAAACTTCACAGCACATTTTCATCTGGAAAAATTGGAAGGAAAGAAGGATGAGCGAACGAACTTGTTTCTCCGGAATGACACGTTATCAGCAGCAATCTCGATGGTTATCAGCGAATTTGTTGGGCTGACAGCAATTTGGAGCGCATCTGGTACCAAGCTCTGCAGTTCAAACTGTATATCCAACACTAGCGTGTGTGTAATTCGCTTACCCTGTATGATCCATACCGAAACAGACCATGGATGGCAAGCCGACCCTTGCCTAAAGCTGCCAAGTCTTCCTACAAGCTCACGTAGGATTAAGAAAGAAAACAAAGTTAGAGAAGCACGTACTTTGATGAAATCGATAAGCTGTTCACCGATGCACATCCCCAAAGCCCCGTCGCAAGTTCTTGGCTGCTGAGCATAGCCCAGGCAAGAGAGTCCAATCCTGTCGCATGCTGATCCAGTTAACGTGACTCTAGCCTCATCTACGAGCATCCACAATCTGCCATCCGCCCTTGGACTGCCCTGCTCACAAGTTTAGTCTTCACGAAAAACTATGAATGCATCGAGGACGCTTCTCTACCCTTGTAAACTGTTGCCAGTTACCGTCTGGTTTCTCAGCCTGGACGAGCATTACAAGTGAGCAACTAGCAAGACTTGCAAACCTGATATGTATACGTACCCTTGGTACGAAGAGATACCTTCCATCCAAAACCGGGATTTGTGTGTAAGATCCCAGATCTCCAATAAGGTAGGCAATAAAGGTCCTGGGACCATTAATCGCGGACATCGCAGAGGGACTCAGACGGACAAATTCCTGGAACGAGAAGTGTGAGCCTCAAGACGAAACCTATTATCCGTGAACTCGCCTTGTTCCCGTTTTGATCTGTGAGTGTGATTGTTATTTCGAAACTAATGGTACCAGTTCGGATGCGAAACATGACACACCTGCACAAGCCTTGGTGCGTTATCACGCAGCAAAAGAAAAATAACACCAACAGAGGGAGAAGAACTCACCACATTTGGCCGAAGCGAAGGCAAAATGCATAGCCAGCGTCACTTATACCGCAATGACCAGGCTTGGGCATTCCTCGAAAGTGTTTGATTTGTTTGAGTGGCTTGCATGTACAGCAAAAGCCCTGCAAAAGGCAAGGCTGAAAAATCAAAGGACATAAAAACTCCAAACGAAACTTACTGAGCTTCCTGGTACAACGTTTCCCTTTGAATCGCCCAGTCTGTATGGAGAAGATCACACAGGAAGAGTCAGTGTCACAAATGGATCTACCCGAAAATCTGAAAGGATAGTTCTTACACTCCACAGGTTGCTTTATCGTTGAGCTTGGTGTTGCAGCCTTTTTTCTTCTTGATGACGCGCTCATTTAGATCACCTGCAACATTCTATTCATCCAATCTCTTCTCGCACTAGAGCTCTTCGAGAGGAAGAAAAAGAGCCAAAAGAAAAGAAATGCAAGGCCTCACCTTCAGGTACTCGAGCGCGTACTTGACAATGCTGTCCGTCTTGGCGATGTTCACGGAAATGGATTTCTCCAGCACTTGCTTGCCGTCGCGGCTCGTCGGATCCTTGACCTCGGCGATGAGCGCCTCGCCATTACCCCCCTGGAAGAGCCAAGGGCAAAATTTCCAGAACCCTAGCTAGAAGTTTGGAGCTTACATCGCCCGATGGAATCGCGACCGTGACCAAGATCTTCTTCTTGCACTGGATGGCATTGGGATCGCCCGTGTTGACGCACACATCAAGATCGCTCTTGGAGATGGTCGTCATGTTGATGGATGGATTCCATAACAGCGCTTGCAAAAGAAAGAGGAGAATCCATTTTACCGCCATTTCCATCCAGTTTAAAACCGAAACTTTAACTGTTCCTTGGCGGCAAAGTAGATTTGAAAGTTAGGGTTCTTCACCTCCATTAAATTGATAATGGTTTTGTCCTGGAATGCGATGGACAGATTTACAAGTTCTAGTTGATGGAATCACGGAAGCGTTAAACCTTTTTTATGAGCGTTGCACACCCAGTGCCTCACGTAAAGAGAAGCAATCAAAGGAATATATAAGCGATGATAACTTCGCTCAAGTTCTAATCGATCGATATCCATCGATCCAAAGCAACGAACAAAGGAAAACGAGATAAAACGAACGTCCATCATGGGACTCAACATGAAGATGCTACTGGGCATTCTCGGTAAGTAAACTCACAAACTTAGCTCTGACGATTTCACTATCTCCATCTCTCTCCTTCTCAGGAAATGCCACTGCTGTTGCTCTGTTTGGAGCACCACTGTAAGTATCATCCATCAGATCATCAAAAACTTCCAGAGATCAAGCAAACCTGAGAGTGGAAACTTGGATCTATCTTTGCAGGCCGACGTTCTGGGAGATCGTCCGGAGCAAATCCACGCAGGAGTACTCGGGCCTGCCGTACGTTTGCACGCTCTTCAACTGCATGCTGTGGATCCTCTACGGCATGCCGTTCGTGAAGCCGCACAGCATGCTCATCATCACCATCAACGCCGCCGGCTGCGCGATCGAGCTCGTCTACACCGCCCTCTACCTCTCCTATGCCACCAGAGCCAAGATGGTATACTTGCAACTTTCCGAGGACCACCTTGGTTGGAATCCCTTCTTCGCGTTTCCGGACCCGGTCTAAACTTCTCGGTGAAAATCCGTACTGCAGGTGAAGGTGCTGAAGATGCTGGGTGCCGTGGCTGTAGCATTTGGACTGATCACGCTCACCACCGTCAAGCTTGCTGACACCCACGACGAGAGAATAACCGTGGTCGGATCCGTCTGCGTCGCGGTGGCCATTGCGATGTACATCTCTCCACTGACTGTCATGGTGACGACGCAGAGTCTCTCATCTTTCTTTCTAACCGTGTCCTTGTTGCTGCCTTGCGTAGAAGCTAGTGATCCAAACCAGAAGCGTCCAGTACATGCCGTTTCTATTGTCGCTCTTCGTTTTCCTCAACAGCTTGGTGTGGACCTTCTATGCCGTTGTAACTCGGGATATCTTCATCGCTGTAAGTGTTCTTCCTTCCCTCTTTTTTTTTTTTTTTTGTTTTTTTTTGTTTTTCGATGTTACTTGAGAATCTGAAACCAAAAAACAAATTGTTGTTGTTAGATACCAAACGGACTTGGTTGTCTCTCGGGCATCGCTCAACTCAGCCTCTACGCGATCTATAGAAACAGCAGCAGTGACAACAGCACCGAGGAGAATACTACCAAGACAATGTATAACAATGCACTATGCAACATTCAAATCGACCAGCTGGGAGCAAACGGCGACGACATGAAGAAACCAAGCTGCAAACACCAATACGAGCAGCAATAGCAGGACTTTTAGAGCTAGACAAACACATTTTCTGGAAAAAGAAAAAATGGAACATAATGTCAGATAGAGCTAGCAAACAAGAAAGAAACAATTCAAGCTCGAGCAAAGAAAAAATTACTTTACCTGGGTGTAGCTACAGCGAGCTTATTGTCTTTTGGTAGCACCGGTTCGACGAAGAGCAACGTAGAAAAGGAACCGAAACAGGACGCCAAATCCAATCGTAACTCCCAGGCACGTCCACCGCCCCAGCTGCGTTATGTAAAACCGGTGCAAAACGTCGCTCCCATTCATCACACAGGTGTCTTCGTCGATGTCGCCATAGGAGGTGCCTTGAAGAGCACTCCTCACAATAGCCAGCATCATCTTCACTGCTGTCTCGTTCACGTCTTGAAGAGGAGTGCCGTACAGTATCTGCTTCCCTGTCTCGAAGCAAGCCCCGTCTCGAGAAAACTCGTTGATGAGAACAGCTTCGTACGGGTACTTGATGATGGAGAGATAGTGAAACCAGATCCAGTACCTGGGAATGCGTTCTCTGGAGATGAAGAAGCCACTGAGCAGTAGAAAATAGGCGAGCAGCGCCACGACCACGGTGTAGCCGAGCATAACGTTGGGAATCACCGCGGAGAGAAAAGTGACGAAGGAGTTGCCCGCCCAGAACGATGCCCAGAGAATGAGGAACATGAAGAGGAAACCCGGCGCTCCACCACTCAGTCCCACTGTCCACCATATCGTCGCCGCAAATGCGATGGAGAGCAAGCCGAGGAAAGGCACGTAGATGATCGCGTTTGCGAGCACATACGACGACTTTCTGTAAGCGCTGTGAGCAGTCTCTCGCATGAAAATGTACCTCTCCTGGAGAAAGACCGGCAGAGCATCTGCGCAGGTGTAGAAGGTCGTAGAGATGGCGAAAGCAAGAAAGCCCAAGCGCTCCTGGACACCTTTCGGGCTGTGGTCCAAGTTCCAGAAGATCGTTGCCAGCAGACCGGCAGTGAGGATAACTGTGCCCAGCCGCATGAGAAAGAGCTCCGGAGTCCGCCTGATGTTGATCAAGGAGCGCTTGATGATGACGAGCATTTCAACCCACCAAGGATTCGCAAACCTCGCCACCTTTGCTCCGTTGCACCTGTCGCCACAATCGTGTGCCTGGGCCCTTGCTGCGACCAGTTTTCCCCTTGAAATGCTGACGCTTATGGCTGTTTTCACGTCTACAGCGGGCCCGGACAGCAGCATCTCCTCCGGCCTGAGCTCTTTGGACGTCCAGAGCTTCGAAAACTCGACGAGGGGCTTGATTCCTCCTGGCGAGGAATGCAACTCTTGAATAAGATCCAGCGCAAACTCGGTGCTGTTCTCGTGCTCAGGCACCGATCTTCCGTAAGCCGTGAAGTACGGGCCGAGTTCCGAAGGTGGTCCATTGTATACCGTCTGCCCGTGAGCGAGGAATATAAGTCGATCAACCAGCCCCATGATCCTGTAGCTTGGCTGATGGATCGACAGTATCACAACGCTTCCCGTCTGTGCGATCTTCTGGAGTGTCCTGACCACCATGTAGGCGCTCGTTGAGTCGAGCCCCGACGTAGGCTCGTCCAAGAAGAGAAGCAGCGGGTCGTGGATGATGTCGATTCCAATGGAAACTCTCCGCCTCTCCCCTCCGGAAACACCCCTCCTGCCTTCATCGCCGATCATGGTGTTGGCGACACGCTGGAGTCCCAGCTGCTCGAGCAACATCTTCACTCTCTCGACCTTCTTCTGCCGTGAGTGTGTTTGAGGCAGCCTCACGTTCGCGGAGAACATGAGTGTCTCCTGAACCGTAAGCATCGGGAAGAGCAAGTCATCCTGCATCACGTACGCCGAGATGCTCCTCAAGAGCCTGGTACCGACTTCCTCCCCGTTCAGCGTGATGCTGCCTTTCAAGCTTCCTTTCGCAATCCTCAGCGCCAAGGCGTCGATAAGTGTCGACTTTCCTGACCCGCTCGGACCCATGACTGCCAGGATCTCCCCTTCTCTTGCTTCTCCTGAGACATTCTCCAGCAAGTTCCTGGCTTGGTTGTCTTCCGGAATGGCGGAGCTGGAAGACTTTGTCGTCCGAAATGGCCACCTCGATCTTCGTTTTTCGTAGACCGTGTACGTGAGGTCCGAAAACTGCAACAGGATGAGCGGCTTCGACTTGTCGATGGAGTTCCACAGCCCGTCCAGATCTACCACTTGATGCGCTGATGCTATGCGAGGCACTGACCCACTGGTGATGATACCTCTTGCGTTCTCGTTCTCCTTCTCTTTATCCAGGCTCTCTTCTTCCTCTTGCTGTAGCTTGCGTAACTTATTGAGAAGTTCTCCCAGCCGCGCGGGCTTGCTGATCGCAATCTTCCCCTGGACTGGCGTCGTGTGTGTCCTCTCCGAGGAGCTTTGAGCCGACGAAGCGATGCCATTTTCCTTGCCTTCGATCTCGCTAGCACTGCGTCGCGATGCTAGCTCCACGAACACCTCAGCTCCAGAGATAGGTGTAGGATTCGATTCAGTGACCTCCATCTCTGAGGATCCAAAGAAAGGTGCTTCCTCGTGCTGGAAATCTCTTGATGGATGATGATCGCGATCCATGGCAGCAGAGCAGGGCTTTCATCGCCATTGTGCTCTAAGATAGCTGCCGATTAGCATCGTCTTGTGTCAGGGATCGAAGAGAAGCTCCTCTCAGAAGCTCAATCTGGAGAGAAACGATCGAAATATCACACCGAGGCCTCACATTCCCACGATTTCACTCACCAGGAGCGAGGTATCGGCCAGATTACGAAACGAAGCTCCCTTGCGTCGATCAGCTCCGCCTAGAGAGAAATATATATCCCGCGATGAGACAAAAGCTTCGATCGCAAGCAAGAAACCGCCAAAGAGACTCGAGATTTCAAGAAATCCAAGAACAAACAGACACACTTACAAAGGGGAAGATCATCTACCGCAAGTAAAACGTGACGGCGCGCACAGTAGGGATGGGATCGCGACGCAATGGGCGAGCGAAGGGATCCTTATTGCCCCTGTTGTCCTTGGGCACGCTTCTCCATATCATTTAGGTTTTCCACCTGAGCCTCTTAATATCACTCACAGCAATTCCAGAGCCCGTCGCCATTTACGCGCCCACCCGTCAAGGAACTTCAAAAATTCAAACTGGAGGAGCCCTAAAATCTCTCCACCTTTTAATCAATCCAACCAACGCATCTAAGATAAGCCACCCACAAGAAATTTTCTTTACGGTGGATCACGGTAATGAAATCTTTGTTGGTCCAACACTGCAAGTTAAGAAAGTCTTTGGCGAGAGCATTAATTTTAACGCAGAGTTCCTGACAACTGATCGATGAAATGCTCGATGGTGACGAAGAACTCGACGATCGCAACTTCCAGCGGCTGTGCTCTACCCGATTTGTACGTGACCGTCGCCACCGAGTCTTGCGAGTAATCCATTTCTTCGTCCTCCACATTGCATCCTAAGATCCACCAAAACGTTAGCTCAAGAGATCTAGAAACCAAGAAAAAGGAGAGAAAAACATACCAGCTTCTTTGAACACAGCTCCAAGCTGCTTCCTCATCTCCCTTATAATCGGAAGAAGCTCCTCGTCGTCGAGATTAAGGTCCTTCAACAGGTCGAGAATCCCCTCCAGTGTTGATTCCATGTCGACTTTGCGGTTTATCAATGCCGTGCGTGACGTCTGGTTCACGTTGATCTTCACCTGGGTTTGTTCTAGCTTGCCATCGACCTCATTCACCACCTGAGACACAAGAAAGCTCTTTAGATCATGCAAGTACTTTCTTCGAGCCGGATCTACCTGGAGGAGCTGGTTCACTAGATCATAAAACTCACTATTCTGCCGCTGAGCTTGTTTAACAGAGTTGACAACTTCGTTGGGATCGTCGATACCGAGTACATCCATGATGTTTGCCAGGGCCTTAAGCTCGATCCAAATCCTCTGTTCTTCGCTGCATTCCTTTGGTGGTTTACCCCTCTGGCCAGTCACCTGAACTACCAACAAAAAACTCATGAGCGTAATAAGAAACTTGAGACGAGCAATCACAGGTACCATCATCTTACAAATTGATCCGCTGGGTTGACCACTTTCGACAAAGGCTCTGGATCCATTATAGCCCATCCTTCAGTTTCTCTCCACAAATCGTAGGCTCGCATGTCCGCCTCGATCTCGTGGATATCTAAACATCGAATCAAGCTTAGTAACCGCCTGAAAGGAAATGTATAACCTGTGATCCGCTCCTCAAAGTCGTTTCTCTCCTCGTAAAAGAGATTGCTTTGCTTTATGCATTCCTCGATCGCAACCTCCATAACTGCAACTTCTGCCTCCATGTTCTTACGCACGTTTTCATAAAACTCTTTCTCCTCACTGAGCTCCTGCATCTTTGCCTGGAGAAGCTTGTTTTGCTTTTTCACCACGTTGAGGTCGATAACAGCCTAGCAAAAAATCCCAGATTAACAAGTGATCGCTATAATAATATAGCTGAAAAGGCACCTTTTGCAGCCGGTTTTCGGTAATCGCAACTCGTATCACAGCTTGCTTGTACTTATCCCTCGCATTGAAAATACCTCCCATGCTTTTCTTAGCTTTCCTCAAGCCAGCATATGATTCTCGTAAAGAGCCTTCCAGCCCTTCCAGCCTTTTGGCTTCAGATATGACCATCTGACTGAACTTGTCGGCCTCGGACTGCAGAGAGGTTGCTTGCCGACTGACATCCTAAAAACCAAAAAAGCTCTTCCCGTCAATCACAGATAAACTGCCATGTAGTGGAAAGTAGCAGCACCGGAATGTAATACGTCTCGATTTTCTCCCGAATCCCTCGATTCTCTGTTTCAAGACTGGCGAGCAAAGCCTCTTGCTTCCGCAGGATGTTCTCGCTTTCATTGTGATAGGATTGCCTGCTCTTCTCGATTACCCTGTAGTTCTTATGAACCACCTTCAGCTGCATAATGATCACGATAAATGAATAAAGAAACAATGGAAAACTCTCACAAACAGCTTACATGTTTTTGGTTTGGACCTTCAACGGGATTTCCTACAGATGAAAGCTCTTCCTCGCTTGCCGTTGACAGTTCCTCCTCCGCCTCTTCTGACATTTTGGCAGAATCTACCTAGTAGAGATTTGAGAACCCATTTCGCTTGAACTTTGAGTACCTTTTGCCGCGCTTCGAGACGCCAAAAGCTTTGCGTTCCACGTCAGCAGTCTGTTATTTAACAAAACCTCGGAATATTCGCGTAGCTAGTGTTCTACTCGTGCCACGAGTTCTTCCTTTATCAGCTTCGAAAGATCGACAATCTGAAACATTCCCTATCAAAATGAGAAACATCAAAACAAGAAATTACCCCAGGATAATGTCGAAGAGCCGCGGAGTAATGCTCCAGCGCTACAAAAACTCTTTCCAGCAAGTTCACAAGATAGTCGTTTTCGTCACCAAGTAAGTCCACCTACAAAGTTTCCATATAAACTTCACGGAAAACAAAAAAAAGCACAACCTCTTCCTCAGCCTTTCGTAGATTTCTGAGGTAGTTGCTTAATTTCCGTTTGCGATCAACGTCTTTCGCTTTCGTGTACTTGCTCAAGGACGCCATCCGCTTGTTGAGCTTCGCGATTCTGCACGTTTCACAGCAAGTCAATCTGTGGTAACAGATAGAAATGGCAAACCTCGCATCATTTTCTTCAAGTGTTCGTCCCACAGTCGCGAAATTCTCTGTTACGGTCTTCATATTTTTTTCGATGACTTGTCGCAGATCGTTGCGGGTATCAGAGATTCCTCGATGAAGGGCGATTACTTCACCACGTAGTTTTTTGTGATCTTCTGCTATTGCCGCCTTCACTTTTAGCACGTCATTCAGCTCCTTTTGTAGTGATTCTAGCCGCTGAGTTGCAAGTTCTAGCTCGGATCCTATGCGCGTCTTGTGAGCCCTTTCAGTTTCTAGCTGAGCAAGCACGACGTCTAACTGCCGCTTGATCAGACATGCGTCCTGCTTAACGTTCTGCAACTCCCCTTCCTTGTTCATCCTTGCTTGCTTCTCCATCTCTATTTGCTTCAAGAGTCTTTCCAGCTCCCCGTTCGAAAGATTTATATTGTGTTCCAACTCCTGAAGTTCCACCGTGAAAGCGAAGTTCTGACGCTTCTCGTCCTCTAGCGCTTTGAGTGCAGATTCGTATTCCATGCTCAAGACACTCAAGTCGTGCTGAACGTCTGACTGTGTTCTTTGAGTGCTGTCATCTGGCTTGGCCATTCCAGTGTCCAGCATCAGCTGCTGAATATCATTTTGGAGCTCGGAAACTAGAACGGGTAACTCCTCCGTGAATCTTCCGTAGTCATTCGTAAACGATTCACTGCGTGACGACACACTGTCCGTGTCGCTGTGCTCGTCCATGCAAGCGCTTGGGGATGGTTGACAAGAATCACCTTGCCTTTTGTCCAGAATCCTGTCCAGCTTCTGTCTGCTATCAGCAAATTGCTTCTTCAAGATTCCAAACTCGTACTGGCCGCCTTCCAGCTTCAGTTTATCAAGCTCCTTGAAGAAATCCCGCTTCAACCTGAACATTTCCTCCGTCTTCTCTACCAAAACCTGTTCCTTTTCCCTTCGTAGCTTTGCGTTTTCTCTTTGAAGATCGGCAACCTGCGAAACGGTTTGACCTCCAACATCTTCGGTACTAATCGAGTCGGACCTCCCAACACCGGAGCTCGCAAGCTCCTGAAGTTTCCTCACGAAATATTCAAGAAGAACGTCCAATTCAATCTGGTACTGATGATGTTGTTCTATAAGCCCTTCAGGAACATATGTCGTACTGGGAAGTCGTGCTCGACTTCGAGATTTGCAGTACCGAACATACTTTTGGAATTCCAAAGATCCCTGGCGAGCCATGTCCGTCCCTTGCGCCCTCCCCGGATCAAAGTCCGCAGCGTCCCTGATGTCCTCAGAAAAGCCCGTGAAGCAGTCTAGTATGAGCTCCTTCTCTAGTTCATCCATCGCCATTTTCGTCATTTCGTCCACCACCTGTTGCTGAGACATCGTGTTTTCTCCGCTACCCGGTATACTAACAGACTCGTCTGTGCCGAGAGAAGCCTTGTCCATCTCCGTTTCCTGTTCCACCTTCCTGTGACTATAAAAGTCCTCGACTTGCCCCTCGTAAACATCCATAAGAATGTTAATCTCCTGTTCATGCTGCGTTCTCTCTTCCTCGAGACGTGACTGAAGACCCTCCATTGCCTCCATGCTTTCCTTCTGAACTTCGATCAAATGGGAAACTTCCTCGTTCACCTTCTCCAGCGCCGAAATCGTCGACACTAGTTCCAAGTTTTCTTCTCTCAGGGCCTCGTTCTCCGCAGCCACCTCCTCCAGTTGTTCTCTGTGCCTAGCCGCCTTGATCCTGATCTCACTCCTGAGCATCTCAACCTCTGAGCTCCTCTCCCGCTTCAAGTCCTCGATCTCTTCGCTGAGAGCATTGATCCTCCTTTGCTTGCCGGAGTCCCTAGCAACTATGTCCTTGATCTTCTTCTCGAGAGCAACACTGTTAAGGCTCTCGCCTTGCAACCGGAACGTCAAGTCTATCAAGTTCTCCGCCATCTTGGACAGATCCCGCTCCTTCTCCAGCAGACTCATCTCGTTCTCCTTCATCTTTTCCAGAAACTCCGACGCAATCTTCTTCATCTTCGACGAGCTCTCCTCCGCTGCCCGGCTCTTCTCGCTCTCCAGCCGACCAATCTCCGCATTCTTCTCGGCCAGTAGAGCCAGAGACTCATCCGAGAGAGCTCTCACAATACCCCTCAGCACCGATTGCCCTACGACGCTGGAAACCACGATCTTGCACTCGAGATCCTCGATGAGGCAATCCTGCGCTACCTTGAGCCGCGTGAAAGCATCCTCGTCGTAGCCGAAATCGCCCGACCCGCGCCTGGAAAGCGCTGCCTCCTCGATCGCTGCCACTCCATTCTCCTTGATGTTGATCTGGTGCCTGGGCGAGGATTTGAATGCCGACGGCATTTTCGCCGCGCTGCCGTGCTGCCGGACCAGGACTTCTAGATGCGCGGAGCTCGGATCTCTATACCCTAATCTAGGCGCCAAGGGAAAGTACCTCTATCGGAGAACCAGCGTGGCGCTAGGGCTGGGCCCTGGCGCTATATCCCCAGCTCCTCTTCCAGTCTTAGAACCATCCTGGCCGGGAATCGAACCATCGACCGATCTATTGGGCGGGAGATTCTAGTTTCGAAACTAAATATTTCGTTGGAGCAGTTTAAGTAAGAACCCTAGAAAATATTTCCAAGGAGAATGGAGCACCAAGATCCAGCGCTGTGGGATCACCACGAGGAAGGCAATGCCAGCGGTGAGTACCACCAGGATTACGAGCATTACTATGGCGATCACGGCGGCTATCACTACGGGCAGGAGCAGCAGCCGCAGGTCGAGGCTCTCGATCCGCTACACATCGAGGGCTTTGATCCAAGCGCGCGTCATCTAGACTACGACGAACAGCAGCAGCAGCATCTCGGCGGAGGAGGTGAGCACGATCTGAATTTCCGGGAGCAAGGGTTTGATCCCAACGCTTATTTCGACCAGGCTCATGACCCTCCCGGGCAGTATGATCCACAGCAGCACTATGATCCACAGCAGCAGTACTATGATCCCCAGCAGCACAATGTCGAGTATGATTCACAGCAGCAGTCCTATGATCCCCAGCAGCACAATGTCGAGTATGATTCACAGCACTACCAGGCGGATTATGATCCTCAGCAGCATGGGCAGTATGATCCACAGCAGTATGATCCACAACAGCATGATCCACAGCAGCCCCAGCATCATGATGCTTGGTCTGGGATCCACGACGCTTACGACCACGCAGGCCAAGCTGTTCACGAGGCTTACGACCACGCGAGGGATGCTCTACACGACGCTTACGACCACACAAAGCACGCTCTGGATGCTATCAAGGTGGGCGACGCTCTCGACCACACCAAGCACGGATTGGACAGTGCTTACGATCGCACCAAGCACGCAGTGGAGGGCGCCTGGGACACTGTGAAGTCTACCCAAGCTTATGGGAAAGCCGCCCAAGTTTTGGATCAGACCAGGGAGGCAGTGGAGGGTGCTCTTCAGACCGTTCGAGAAAAGTTGCCTCCACCGGTGGTCAGAGCGTATGATCAGGCCAGAGCCGTGGTGGAAAGTGCCGTGGATCACACGAAGGTGGCGTATGAGAGTGTTAAGACGAAGGTGGCTCCGACTGTTACTAGTTTGCTCAGCCAGCTCCCGTTTAAGACCGACAAGAACAGCCTCATCTTTTACGGTGCTAGGTAATTTTCAATGCTTTTTGGTCCTGTCGTACTGAAGATTTATGCCTTTGTAGTTTCGCTCCAGTGTTGGCTTTGTGATACTTCTTATGACAGTGATTCTCATAGCAATGAAGCCGAAGGGTGCGTCGAAAAAGTCCAAGCCGAAGGTGATAAATTATGACGAACTGATCGGCGCAATGACTGTAGAAGCTCCAGGTTGGCTGGCATTTTCCGCTGCTTTCAATCTTCTAAAACTGCGCGGCTTTTGTGTGCAGTATATGACTATACAAACGGTAATAAGGGGCCACTGAACTGGGGAGCAGTTTCAAAGGATTGGTTTCTCTGCAACTCAGGCGAGCGGCAGTCCCCTATTGACCTGGTGAGTGCAAACGCACAGGTTGACAAGTCTCTTACTCTTGAGAAAGTGTTTGGATATCCCATGGGAAGCTTAAAGTCGGGTCGCTATATCTATCAGGTTTGCTTGACATCAAGTGCTAGCTAGAGTTTAACCGCTGTTTCTACTTCAGCTAGAGTTTCTTCTTCCAGGAGGCAATCTCATTATCGCTGCCCAAAAGTTCAGGCTCTACAAGATTCATTTTCATATGCCCAGCGAACACATGATCGATTCGACAAGGTTTGAAAGAAAATGCGAAATACCTCACAACTGTGTTGTGAACAGGTACAAGCTGGAGATGCAGATGATTTTTCTATCAGACCAGGGAGCGTATGCTGTCATTGCCGTTTTCTACGATTCGGGTCAAGTCACCAATCCATTTCTCAATGAGGTAAGCATCTCAAATGGCATTTTCATGCATACTTAGCACTATGCTCGCTCTCTCTCTCTCTCTCTCTCTCTCTCTCTCTCTCTCTCTAGATCATCAAGTGGAAGCCTACCACTCAACTCAACACAAACAACCTCAACTTGGGAACCAGTTTCTTTCGTTACTGGGGCTCATTGACAACACCTCCGTGCACACAAAATGTCATTTGGACCCTGATGACAGAGGTTTATTCTTTCTCTCACACCCAAACAACCTTTTGAATTCCATCCTTGCAGGTCGTCCCAGCTTCTGATGATCAGTTCAACATCATCAAGACCGCGATGCAGGTATTCTTGTACCGAGCATTCTCCTAGTTCTAACCAACATTTTCTCTATACAGGAGTACAACGCGAGGCCCACACAAGATCTGAGAGGACGGCAAGTGAGCAAAAACTTCTAAACCAAGTCGATGAACTTCCATGACAAGCACAAAGAGTAAGCAGCGTTTCTATCTATTTGCCATGGCTTTGACAAAGAAGAAGAAATTTTGTTTAGCAGTCGAGAAGGAACTTCTATTCGACAAGCACACGATACAAACAAGCATAATGTTGGTTACAATCCCAGGCCCACCGTTCGACCATCGCGTCGCCGCAACCCAGCCGAGAACTGCTTCTCCAGATCCTCCTGGACGACGCGATGCTTGTCCTGAGGAACAGCCGCCGCCACCGCCGCCGCTGGAGCGCCTCCATCTCGCACTGGAGCGCCGCTGCCTTGGTTGGATTTTAATCCCTGCAAACGTAGAGGAGCAGCAAACCACACTCAGGCTCTGTAGGAGCGTTAGCACGTTTCATCACTGGCAGGAAACCTCCAAAAGCTTACTTACCATAAGTTTGTGGAACTTCTCCTGCCTCTCCCGGTCGGCGAATTGGACGGTGTCCCAGTGGCTCTTTCCAGCCGCGGGAGGCCCCTGTAGAGACACATTCTTAAAGAGAGGAGAGTAAAAAAGGAAACTTCTCTCACCTCGTTTGATTCGGCACGCTTTCCAGACCACAAGAGTTTCTTCTTTGCATCGGCGGTCATGAAGCTAGAACCTCCCAGATTCACATTCACTATACAGCAAGAAAAAGTTGTTAGCGTTCTCTCAAGTGAAAACATGAAAGCAAAAGAAGAATAATGGAAAGCTTATCGTCCTCTCTCAAAAGAAGAAAACTGGAATCGAGAGAGAGAGAGAGAGAGCGAAAGAAGAAAAGTGAAAAGCTTATCGTTGTCTCGAGAGAGAAGCAAAAGAAGAAAAATGATCTTGGCTTACCAGTTTGAGCTGCCTTGATTGCCGCATTCGTAGCGGCAGCTCCATCCACCTCCAAATTCTCATTTTGCGCTGCTCGAGCCTCGACACCATTGTGCTCGAGCTCGACTCTCTCTTTCCCATTGTCGGGAGATTTGGCGCTTTTTCCTTGGCCGCTACTCCCTTCGTCTCTCTCCTTGCGCTTGTGACTGTCCCTGTGACTGTCCCTGTGCCTCCCGTGATCATCCCTTTCCTTTCCTCTCGACCGATCCCTCTCCCTGTGCTCATCCCTTGATCTTCCCCGGCCCCGCTCCCAGTCCCTCTCTCTATCCCTATCCCTCTCCCTCTCCCGCCTCTCGCGATCCCTCTCACGCTCCTTATCTCTGCCGCCGTAAGAGTGAGAATGCGAATGCGAGTGAGAATGCCGGCTCCCCCGAGACCTCTCTCTGTCCGATTCCCTGTGCCTCACCCTCGCTTCGTCCTCTCTTCTAGGACTCCTGGCGCGCTTACCTGTGAAATCGCCCGCCATAGCTCAGCCAAACGCCCGAAATATTTCCCAGACAAGCAGTATTACCTGAATCATCCGCTCCCGGCGAGCTCGATCTCGACCTCGACGAGTGATGCCGCCGCAGCTGCTCGTGCTGATTTTCCTCCTCCACCTTCTCCTGCTGCTGCTGCTGCTGCTGCTGCTGCTGATCCAGCGGCTGTGCCGCTTGCTCCTCTAGCGGTGCATTGGCCTCCGCCAGAGCACAGGCCGACACCGACGCTAGCGCCGAGAGCGCAGCTCCTCCCTCCATAGCTTCACCCTAATCCAAGGGTTTGCTTTATTTATATACCCCAAAACTTCAACATGATTAGCTAACTAACAAATTTTTAATTAACACAAACCTAATTACTCACAGAAAGAGAACAATTCCTCTCACATTTCTATGAAGACTTTGATGTAACCATCCTCTTTGTTGAAGAGCTTGCTGTATGCTTCCGGCGCGTCCTCCAGCTTGATCCTGTGAGTGACCATGAAGCTCGGATCAAACTTTCCACTCTTGACGTGATCCATCACCGTGTCGAAGTAGCGCTGGCACGGGCATTGCCCCGATCGCAGCGTCAAGTGCTTCATCATCAGCATGCCAATCCCAAAGTGATTGCAGTAGCCAAGGTAGTCCGCGATCACGGACACCCGCCCCCACTTCCTCGTCGCCAGAAGTAACTCGTTAAGAATGTCCGCGGTGTCGGTCTCCAACCCCACCGTGCGCTCCACCTTGTGAAGGATAGTCACAGGGAACCGGAACCCCGCCGCTTCGATGCTCGCGTCCACTCCTCCCGGAACCAGCTCAAAGATCCTCTTTGGAACGTCCTTGACGGAGTTTCGATCGATGACTGTGATCCCCAGCTTCTTCTCCGCCACCTCCAGCCTCTCCTTGACGAAATCTATCCCGACCACCTTGGAAGCTCCCATGATCTGGCACCACCTCGCGGCGCAAAGCCCGATCGGTCCCAGCCCCCAGATAGCCACGGTTTCACCAGCTTTCACTCCCCCGGCCAGCATCACGGCGTGGTAGGACGTGCACAGAACGTCCGAGAGATAGAGCGCCTTCTCGTCCGGGACCTCGTCCGGGATCTTGTAGCAGTTCACGTCCGCGAAGGGGACTCGGACAAACTCGGCCTGCGAGCCAGGAACTCCACCGAGCAAGTTTCCATAGCCGAAGATCCCAGAGTGCCTGTGACCGTAGACGAACTCGCTGAGCTTCGAGTCGTTGGTGGTGTCGCAGCCTGTGAACTCACCGCGCTTGCAGTAGTCGCACTCGCCACAGGCAATATCGAAGGCGATGACGACTCGGTCCCCGGCCTTGAACTTGGTCACCGCTTCACCCACCTCGGACACCACACCGCAGCCTTCGTGTCCCATGATCTGGCCTTTGGAGGTGTCGGGAACCTCTCCGGCGTAGACGTGAGAGTCGGAGCCGGAGCAAATGGTGCAAGCAGTGACTTTGACGATCACGTCCTTCGGATGCGTGATGACCGGCTTCGGTACCTTGTCCAACGAAATTGTTTTCTTTCCCTGCCATGTAATCGCTCGCATCACCTCCGTGTCCGATGTTGCTGGCCTCGTCGAGCCTTGAGCCACCGGGACCTTCCCAACTTTCTCATCTAGAGCCTGCGCGGCGGCGTTCATCATAGCGAGTGAGAAGCTTTGAGAAAACCAAAGAGCTAGCGAGCTTTCTTCCCTTTCCGGAGAAACCCGAGAAGATTTTCGATCGATCGCCCACTCGAGTTTTCACCAGTTGGAGAACTTCGGCTTGGTTGACACCTGTAGCTTCAACTAGGAACAGGTGGCAGCCACTATCCATGCATGCAAGTATATGCGTGGACAAATCTAGAACAAGGAAATCGGAAACCAGAGAAACAAGAAAACTTGCCTGAGATCAGTCATTGCTTCGCACGTACTTAGAGTTAAGCCGCGGTTCCTGATTTCTTTTCCTTCCCTGGAAAACTTCAAGTGAGCTTTCCTGCGCCCGTTCACGACTCTCCAGACAGTACTGAGCCTCCACGTCTTCGTTGGTTCAATGTTGTGGTTCTTCATCCGGTGAAGGAAGTCGGTTGGCATCCTCTTTCTAGAAACGTAGACGTTTGTAGACCTTCACGTCACCGCAGGAGCCGTAGTTTCTCGGCCGAGTGTATGTCGCCCCTCTTGGAGCAAAGCCACCAAAAGAGCTTCCGGTAGAAAGTTGTAGGGAAGGAAGCAACTATTGCCGATGTGCTCTGGTCCATCATCTCATCCAGATGTATGGAATTTGAGGAATCCGCTCGAACTTTTGCAGCACTTCCTCCAGCACCTAATAAACCAAAGGACTTGATTGCGGAGATGTAGCTGGAGTAGCAACTTGTTCGCTCTTGAGCAGCGTCCACATCCTGTCCACCATCTTCCGCTTTCCCAAGAGCGCATAGGAAACGGATTATCAGGTTGAGTAGCCGTGTGTCTGCCTCTTCGAAGTTCGTTCTCGTGGCAACAGCGGTAAGAAAAGCTGTGGTTGCCTCAAACTTCAAACACTCTGGCATGATTTTGAAACAAATCTGAGTCGGCAGCTTGTTTGCCTAGCACCACGGCCTCGTTTGATTCACAAGAGTTTCTTTTTTGCATCGCAGATTCACATTCACTATACAGCAAGAGAAGTGTTAACGTAAAACATGAAAGCAAAAGAAGAAGAAAATGAAATGCTTATCGTTCGAGAGAGAGAGAAGCGAAAGAAGGAAAATAAAAAGCTTATCGTTCTCTGTGCTCTTGGGCTTGGCTTACCAGTTTGAGCTGCCTTGATCGCCGCATTCGTAGCGGCAGCTCCATCCACCTCCAAATTCACATAGAGCACAGCCCGACAAGAGCGCCATAGCTAGCTTCGCCCTAGGAATCTATATAACCCCAGTTACACTTGGAAAGTTTACTTTAAAACTAACTTAATCACAGAAGCTATAAGTATCTCCCTTCTCACATTTCTATAAAGACTTTGATGTAACCATCCTCTTTGTTGAAGAGCTTGCGGTACGCTTCCGGCGCGTCCTCCAGCTTGATCCTGTGAGAAACCATGAAGCTCGGATCAAACTTTCCACTCTTGACGTGATCCATCACCGTGTCGAAGTAGCGCTGGCACGGGCACTGCCCCCCTCGCAGCGTCAAGTGCTTCATCATCACCATCCCGATCCCAAAGTGATTGCAGTAGCCAAGGTAGTCCGCGATCACGGACACCCGCCCCCACTTCCTCGTCGCCAGAAGCAACTCGTTGAGAATGTCCGCGGTGTCGGTCTCCAACCCCACCGTGCGCTCCACCTTGTGAAGGATAGTCACAGGGAACCGGAACCCCGCCGCCTCGATGCTCGCGTCCACTCCACCAGGAACCAGCTCAAAGATCTTCTTTGGAACGTCCTTGACGGAGTTTCGATCGATGACTGTGATCCCCAGCTTCTTCTCCGCCACCTCCAGCCTCTCCTTGACGAAATCTATCCCGATCACCTTGGAAGCGCCCATGATCTGGCACCACCTCGCGGAGCAAAGCCCGATCGGTCCCAGCCCCCAGATAGCCACGGTTTCACCAGCTTTCACTCCCCCGGCCAGCATCACGGCGTGGTAGGACGTGCACAGGACGTCGGAGAGATACAGCGCCTTCTCGTCCGGGACCTCGTCCGGGATCATGTAGCAGTTCACGTCCGCGAAGGGGACTCGGACAAACTCGGCCTGCGAGCCCGGGACGCCACCGACCAAGTTTCCATAGCCGAAGGCCCCGGAGTGCCTGTGACCGTACATGAGCTCCATGAGCTTGGAATCGTTGGTGGTGTCGCAGCCTGTGAACTCTCCGCGCTTGCAGTAGTCGCACTCGCCACAGGCGATGTCGAAGGCAATGACCACTCGGTCCCCGGCCTTGAACTTGGTCACCGTTTCTCCCACTTCGGACACCACACCGCAGCCTTCATGTCCCAAAATCTGGCCCTTGGAGGTGTCGGGGATCTCTCCACCGTAGATGTGAGAGTCGGAGCCGGAGCAAATAGTGCAAGCAGTGACTTTGACGATCACATCCTTGGGATGGGTGATGAGCGGCTTGGGGACCTTGTCGCAGGAGACCTTCTTCTTTCCCTGCCATGTAATCGCTCGCATCACCTCCGTGTCTGATGTTGCTGGCCTCGTCGAGCCTTGAGCCACCGGGACCTTCCCAAGTTTCTCATCTAGAGCCTGCGCGATGACGTTCATTATAGTGAGAAGCTTTGAAAAGAACAAAGAGCTAGCGAGCTAATTTCTTCCCTTTCCTTGTTGTGTTTTGATCGATCGTTCGCTCCATTTCTCCACTTGGAGAACATCGGCTTGGTTGACACTTGTAACGTCACCAGGAACAGGTGGCAGCCAGTATCCATGCAAGAGGAGAATCTAGAAAAAAAAAGGAAATAATCAAAGAGAAACAACAAAGACGTTGAAAAACTTGCCTCTAGATCAGTCACTGCTGCGCACGATATACTTAGCTCTTTGGAATTAGGCCGCGGTTCCTGACATCTTTTCCTTCCCTGGAGAACTTCAAGTGAGCCATTTGCTGGTCCCGAGGTATCCTCCGCCCATTCACGACTCTCCAGACAGTACTGCGTCCTGGCTTGTGATCCCAGAACGATTCCAGTGTGTCCATGAGTCTCCATGTCTCTTCATTCGGTTCAATGTTATGGTTCTTCATCCTGTGAAGGACGTTGGTTGGCATCCTCTTTGTAGAAACGTAGACGTTGAGCAGTGCGTTGTAGACTTTCACGTCACCGCAGGAGCCGTAGTTGGAAATGAGCTTCTCGGCCGAGTGTATGTCTCCCCTCTTGGCGAACACCGGGAGCAAAGCCATCACTGTCTTGTAGAATAGCTTCCGGTCCTTGAAAGGAATCTCGAAAGCTTCGTCCAGCTTCTTGAGCGCGCTTGAGATCTGGCAAGTTTCAACGTAGCCAGTGACCAGAAAGTTGTAGGGAAGAAAGCAGCTCTTGCCGATGTGCTTCTCCATGAGCTTCTCCGCCTGGTCCATCATCTTGAGCCTCACGCAGATTTCCACGATCCAGATGTATGGATTTTGAGGAATCCGTTCGAACTTTTGCAGCACTTCCTCCAGCACCTCATATGCCTTTTCCAAGTCCCCGAACAAACCAAACGACTTGATTGCGGAGACGTAGCTGTTTAAGTCGGGAGCAGCAACTTGTTCGCTCTTGAGCAGCGTCCACATCCTGTCCACCATCTTCCGCTTTCCCAAGAGTGCATAGGAACGCATTATCAGATTGAGTAGCCGTGTGTCTGCCTCTTCGAAGTTAGTTCTTTTCAGCTCCGCGTCGAACTCCATCTCAATCTCCTCAAAACCGCCGACTCTTTCTCGGCACTGGAGAACCAGCCAGTACGTAAAAAGGACCGGCTTCAACCCTTTCTGCTTGAACCTGTAGTAAGTGTCCCGCAGCTTGTCGTGCCTGTCCCTTCTGAGATACATGTGTAGAACCGCGCTCCAGGCGTCGACGGACAACGTGCTGTTCAGCTCGTCCATCAATCTCTCCGCTCTGGCCGAGTCGTCCTCTTTCGCAACAGCAGTAAGAAAAGCCGTGGTTACCTCCTCCGTCCTCAAACTCTCTGGCATGCTTCTGAACAACGCCTCGCCTTTTGATGGCCCCAGCTGAAGACATAGCTGTGAGATCTCTTGCATGTATAGCTTCGAGGTCATTTCTACCAGGCGTTCTTCTCTCACGACGTTCATGAGCTACCAAAGAACATCAAATACAGCAGTTAGTTCAAACATTCCAAGGAAAAACATTTTAGAAAAATCAATGCTTACTTTTAGAGCTTGGACGTTGTGCCTGCAGTGAAGAAACCAACCAGAGACTTTAGCAGCAACGTCCCGTGACATCACATTTCCATCGGCTATCCAATTCTTGACTACCTCCGAAGTGTCGGCCTTAGCGTTGAGAGTCCGGCATAGGCTCACAACCTTCTCCTGCTCCGCATTCTCATTGGGTTCCTCTCCCTTGAATTCCCGGACAAACTTTCTCAGCTCTTTCATCTTGGACTGTTCCGAAACTGGTGCTTTGGCCTTCTCGCTAGTGTAGTACGGTGGAAGAGCGAAAGCTTCACGGCGATCCCACTTGGGCGAGAGACCAACCTTGCAAAAAGCTGCTGCTGGCCTCTTCCATATCCACCAGGCAGCAGTGCCCATCTCGAATCCTAAAACCCTACTTAAACCTCTGCTACCACGTTCTGTAACAGCTTCTCAGTCTCCTCGTCGGGCTCCACGAACCTCTCTAGCATTCTCTCCTTGAATTCTTTCGGAGTTTTGCCGGCAGCAATGTAGACTTTGAGCAGCTGGTTGTAGACAGGGGCCTCTCCAAACAGGGAGCTGTAGTGACCCATCACCTTCTCGGCTTCATCCACGTCTCTCCTCAAGGCCAGAGCCGCTAGCAAACCCATCACGGACTTGTACTCCAGCCTTGTTGGTCCCTTCTTCACCGCAGCTAGACCACCCTTGAACTTCCCCAGTGCGTTCTTTGCGTCGCCTTTCAAAAGGTAGCCCGCAACGAGAGACTCATAACACCAAAAACTGTCTTTGAGTTCCTCGTCGGCCTTGTCTTTGAGGAGTTTCTCCGCCTCGTGCATCAACCCGGCCCTCGCATAAACATCGACCATAGCAGCGTATGGATTGTGCTTGCGATTCGGGAAGCTCGTCGTGATAGCCAGCAGCTCCTGCAAGACCTTCTCCGCAAGGGAAACATCACCAGCCATTCCGAATGCTTTCATGGCCGTCACGTAGCAGGCCTTGGCAACCTGGTGGCTTTCCTTTAGAGCGCTCCATATCCTGTCCACAGCCTCCATCTCTCGGAGATGACCATAAACTTCGAGCATCTCCTCGAGAACTCCTGCTTGAGCACTACCAATGTCAATCTCCTCCAGACGTTTTCGAGCGTCTGCCTCGATTCCCTCAAAGCCACCGGCGGCGTCCTTGCAAACCAAAAGTATCCTGTACGTTTTAGCGTCTGGCTCGACCCCAGACTCCTTCATCCTCGTCAAAGTTTTGAAGAGCTTCCTGTGTTTGTCCCGTGCCAAGTACATGTCTAGCACGACGTTCCATCCCTCGGTGTCCAAAACTTTGCCTTTCTCCAAGAATTTTTCTGCCTTCTCCACCCGGTTGTCCCTTATAAAGCTCGAAAGCAGCGCTCTGTTCACGTCAGCCGTCCTCAGCTCCTCAGGGAAAGCGTCGTAAATAGCCTCCACACGACTGCATTTGTACTGACGGCTTAGCAAATCCAACTCCAGTGCAAGGAGTTGGCCTGACACCTCTGCTAGTTTGCTTTCTCTAGCGCCTGTCAAGAGCTACAAAGGAAAATCAAAACTCAAGACCATGAAGACTTCCACACAAAGAACATACCTTGAGAGCCTGGACAAACCTTCTCTTCTCGACCATCCAAGTAGCGAGCCTGGCCAAAGTCTCGCTGGACAAAACGTGCCCCTTCTCAGTCCACTTCACGACCGCTTGTAACACATCGAACTCCGGCTCAACCATTTTGGCAAGAACGGAGAAATCGTCAATTTCTTCATTCTCGACCCGGGCCTGGACGGAGAAATTCCTGGCAGCAGCGACGTATTCCTGGCTCGTCGCCCCGCCCGGAAGAACAGGCAATGCAGGAATCCAAGCGCGAGACACGATCGTGGAACTAGAAATCCGACAGACCTGCGAGCTGTGACAGCGCAACAGCGATGTGAGAATGTTGGCGGAGATCGCTCGATTTAACCTCCCAGCCGCCGCCCCAGCGCCCCGGCGCAGCCCCGACATTCCTAAAACCCTAGAAAGAGAGTGGAGGGGTTTAGGGCTTATATGAATATCGAATTTAGTAGGGATCCTCAGAAGTAGAAACTGTTTTTAATCTGAAAAGATATAGTTTTGGAGTAAAACAATATATTTTTAAAAAATAAAATACTAGAACAATGATTTGTAGTGCTTTTCCTGGTGATGAGATTTTGTGGCCTCTTACATAACTTTATCTTTGGTCTGAAAAAGACAAAAAGGAGAGCCATGTCTAAAGGAGTGTAACTCAATAGTCATTTATAATTTTTGTAAGTTGGTCACAATAATTTTGCAAGTGTAAGAGTTGATTAAGCATACTTTCAAAAAAAGAGTATAAGTGCATCATAGTAATAGAAGTTCAATTGCCAAATTCTAGCAACTAGCTCTTTAAAACTTCAAGAATTCACCTTAAGCTCTTAAAGTCATAAATTTTGACTATGAGAAATTGTGGATATGAACTCTCAAGAATCTAGAAAAAAATCTTCACTTCTATTGCCACTACTCCTATAAAGGGTTATTGTTTAAAACTCCAATCATGAATCCAAACTCAAAAGATTAAGAAAGATAAAATCATAGTTATATTCAAGCTCTTTCTTACTGCCATGTGGTGTTTGAGGTAGTCAATACTACTTAACCACACCACATCAAGTTCTGGTGAAAGTGCAAGTTCTTCTCTTGCCATTTATGAGGCAGACATACAAGCAGGTAGTATGCTTTTTGTTTCTTTCTTTTTTGTGGGCAGTTTCGGTTTTGGGCTTTATAATCACATGCAATTACAAGCCATGAATCTTGAAGATAGCTTACAAGTGCATTCTTGTAGTGATTTTTTTGCTTACAATGATATGGAAAGAATAAAACTTACCACACCGAGTGACTCATATACTTTGTCCTTTCTCAATTCAAAGTGTTTGTGTTCTAGTCACCTAATACAACATCCAAGATCACAACTTTGAATGAATCATTATTCTACCTTCTCATGGTTTTCAACAAAGCCATTGTGACAACTCGATACTTGCTTGAGATCCTTTACAAAAGTGCCATTACTTATTACTTAGGATCTAGAGCAATATTTAGAGTGACAAAAGTTGACATGGTTTTTCCCATTTTATTTTAACATTTTAGTGATGGCCAGGGAGTTCATGTTGCTAAGTTCACTTGTTGAATTGTATAAGAATCCAATGAAAAGAAAAAAAGTAGTTCAAACACTCCATTTGGCTGAAGGATCGTTATGGTGGGGGACCTAGAAGTTGCACCAACTATACATACAATAAAACTCAGACCCCCTATAGAGAGTATGTAATCACCAAAGTGAAGAAGCTGCAATTGCATGCCATTTTGATCACGGTGGAAATTTTAACCCAATCATTCCATGAGAGAAGCATAGTTCCAAAACACTTCCTCTTCATCTCACATTACAAAAAGAATTGGTGATAGTAGATCACTCATTCCCTATAAGAATATAGTGGTTTTTAATAGATTGTGCTACATACTTGTCTATCTGACAGTAGCCCAGATTGAAGTTGTAAAAAGAATAGGTGTTAGAAACATGTCACAAATAAAACCTTTGCCACCATCAGTAGCTGGGAATGCACACAGGTGGAAAAACACCATCTTTTAAACTCAAGTAAAATCATGGCTCAACCACAGGTGAATGTTTACCACAAGCTTATGTAGCATATTTTGGTGACCCAGTTGTGCAAGATGCTTGAAAGCACTTGCTGATTCTGGAATAGGCAAGGAACTGGTTCTTCATTTCTCTAAAGAATATTCAACCAATGCTAATTGTTTTTACTCTCGTAATAACATTGTGGCTCTTTTATCATATCCCATATCCTATGCTTTGATGAAAGTGGCATTTGTTAAATCTGTTTGCTTGTCTGGCACGCTTTGATATGTATCTAGCAGCTGTGATGCATTTAACAAATGAGAACTTCAAAGGACATCTGATCCAAGAACATCTAATTACTTTAACAAATGAGAATGTAAAACCCTAGAGTCACACAATTTTCAAAATAGCTTACAGTCTTATGCCAGCTTCTTTCATGAAAGTGTACCTTATGTTGTCTAGAGCTGCTGTTGGTACCAGTCCAAAACTTGTAATGTAGACCTCTTTGCCATGAACAGCTTCTCTACATCTTGGATCAAAATGCTCTAGAATCAATAATGATCCAGAATCGCTTGAGACAATACTTTGCCACTTCTCAAGCATTGTCTGTTGCCATAATCTTATTGTTCATTGTCCCCATTCCCAGTTGTCAAGGACACACAAAATAAA